GATAAGGATGGATAATTTCCAAGTTATAAATACATGTACTAGCTTAGAACATGCTTGGCCGATGATATACAGGGTGGTCCAAACTGTATTCCGGACACTGCGGCAGCATATTCATTCAAATAAGTATCTACTCAACGTGTTTATTTTTTGTCCATAATGACATGTATTGACTATTTCCATACTAAATATCTTGAGAACGGTTGCTCGTAGAGATATTTTACGTAAAAAGTTATGGAAATGTATATTTTTCCACTCTGTAGTTTTATACAGGTACGGACGAAAAGTTATTACTCTTCAAAACAGTTAAAACACATGTAGGTGGCGCCCCCTGCAAATAGGAGTCATATTGACATAAAAATCAAATTTTTCATGTCAAAAAACTCCCAGACGCGAATTTTCATCCAAATATTGACGTTACTTCATAAATTATTTGGAAAAAATCGAAATAATTGAAACTTCTACACCCTGTATCTCCGAAACTAAGCATTTTAGGACATACATTTACACGAACTTTTTTACTTATTTTTATCTGCAGAATACACTGCCGAAGTTTTCGGAATACAGTTCGGACGACCCTGTTTCCTATACAGTGTATTCAAAAATATCTCATAATATAATTTGACTAAATTCTATTGAGTGCAGACTAGGCTTAACGTTTTACCTGTCAGTGACTAGGTCAGTTGCCTTGATTCGTGTAAACGCCCCTGTAAATAACTAAGATAGATCAAAGGCTTTTGGAACATACGGTAATTTAATATTGTTTATAGAAAAGTGTAATGCTGTAAGAATAACATAAAAGTCAGTGGAAAATCAGTTTAAAAAAAACAGTACAAAAATGTCTACTACCTCTTTCCATCATACGCCGCGGAGTAGGCAACCAGCACCACCCTTAAGGCATCGTTCTTCCTCTGGAGTACGATCCGGTACGAATTCTTACGGTAGTAGCAGACCACGTAGCGTGGGGTACTACGGTTCAAACACCAACCCTTACTCTAGTAGCAGCTCTTACAGTTCGCCCTATAGTAATGGTAGTTCTTATTCTTCGGCCCTAAACAGCTACAACCCTAGCTATGGATCCAGGTGGGGTATTTCCAGAGATATACCGGGTGTTTTGCAAAAGTTGCTTATATTTGAATTTTTTCGAGTATAAAAATAAGATTTGGTATGTTTGGTTTGGTATTTTCCAACCAAATAATGAGCAGTGCTTTCCATAAAATCAATAAAATTAAAAATATACGAAATAATATACATGTACTGATTTCTTTCGAAAATCGACAACTATGAAACTATGAACCCGTCCCGGACACAAACGGTACATTGTGAGACAGGAAATTGTAGAGAGAAACAAGCCCTATAATATAGGATACAACATTTTAATGAACAGTGCTTTCCATAAAATCAATAAAATGAAAAATATACGAAATAATATACTTGTACTGATTTCTTTCGAAAATCGACAACTATGAAACTATGATCCCTTCCCGGACACAAACGGTACATTGTGAGACAGGAAATTGTAGAGAGAAACAAGCCCTATAACATAGGATACAACATTTTAATGAACAGTGCTTTCCATAAAATCAATAAAATCAAAAATATACGAAATAATATACATGTACTAATTTCTTTCGAAAATCGACAACTATGAAACTATGATCCCTTCCCCGATACAAACGGTACTTTGTGAGACAGGAAATTGTAGAGAGAAACAAGCCCTATAACATAGGATACAACATTTTAATGAACAGTGCTTTCCATAAAATCAAAAATATACGAAATAATATACATATATAATACTGATATTTTCTGGGTATTTTTCTACTTTATTGAATAGAAATTGACATTCTTAATAGAATGACATATCATGTGTTTACAGTAACGACAATTTGACTCGAAATACCAAGCGTGGTCCAAATACCAACCCTCGTTCCATTTGAAAAAATTCAATTTATATCAGAAAAAAAAATATAGGAGTGAGCCACTTTTGAAAACACCCGGTAGAGGTAGGAAGAGCGAGCATGAATGTGTTATTATTACTTATTGATATCATGGCATAAATAAAGTATATGGATGCGCACTCGTCGAAGCTCATTCTCCCCACTTCTATATCTCTGGATATTTCTTTGTACTTCTGCTAAAACAGCTGTTTTTATAGCTACCAGAGTCCGTATTTTCAAAACGGATACAGAGGTGGCGCTGGAGGTTATGCCGGTTTGACAATTCCCGCCAAAGCGCTGTCAAATGTCAATGTACTTGCCCAAAATTATCCTAAGTCTTATGACAACAGTTACCTAAAGGTTAGAATCACTTTTGATATTTTAACTATGACCAACCTTTGATTAAAAAGATCAAGGAAGGAGCATATGAACAATCTTAAAAAACGTGTAAAAACATAACGTAGGGTGGGCTCAATAATTTGATGGTTTTGATTATTTTTAAAAAACGTCAATTAATTTGCTACATTTTACTACAAAACGTAATATGGTTGTTACCCAAAACTCCTGTTTTAATTGATTTACGAATTTACCGCCCCACGTTGGGCGCCAAAACATATAACCAGATTTATTAACTCTAAACACACACAAAACCAATTAGAATAAATAACAAATAACATAAAATAAGCTCGGAAAAGCAAAACAAATCCGCAAATTTTCAAATCGAATTCAAATGTGACAGTTGAAAGGTCAAACAGAACTGTCAAAAAATTGGAGTTCATGATGTCGATTCCTATACATGGATAGCATTTTACTCGTTCGTTAATCTTTTTATTCAAAGCTCTCAGCAGAATCATTTTGTGTAGATTTTAATTTTTTTTTGTACTTAGCACACTCTGTACCTTCTGAAAGTAAATTTAAATTGCAACTGATAGTCCTTGAACAAGCACGCTTGGTGCAGTATATGTAATAATTGAGATTGATGATATATTGCAGATGTTTGCTTTAAGTAGTTTCATGAGTGGAATCTCCAAGTTGAAAATATAATTCCAGAAAAATATGTCTGGTATAATACGTTAACTACGTTTTATAAAACGCATTTCCTATATTTGTTTGGTGTTTGTTTGTGTTTGTAAAGTTTCAACATTATACAGAGTAATGTAATGTATTTATATGACTGTAAAACTTGAAAATATCATTTGATAAAATAATCAAAAAGATTCTGCTGTTTAGTCTGGAGTTATACCATACGATCGAAAAAAAACGACGTCAGAGAGGGCTAGGAATGACAGTCGATGATAATTTTGGCGAGATCGAGCCCTATACGTTAATTTTTAGTAAGTGACATCTAGAGATTGCCCTTGGCAAAATTATCATTGATGATCTTTCCCCAGCTGTCTTTGACGCTTTTTTTCGATTATACAGTATTATTTGCAATTTATATGTTCGTTTCCTTACAAAGAACGATAATGGAAGGAGATCAAGAAGAGATCTTGCCAGAGGCAGCAGCTATAGAGAAAGATCTCTATCAAGGTCCATGGGATCACTGCCTGGAAATGGTATGGGTCCCAGGTCTACTAGTTTGACGTCATTGAACTCCGAAGGATACTTTGTAAGCCCCAACGAAAACTATAACTTGCCTATTAAATAAAATAAGTCACGATTTGATATAATAACAGTGTTTGGTTTCTTTAAATATGGGTATTTACATAGATTTGTGACTCATTAAGACACGACTTAGCTTATAACCAGGGTTTATATAACTCACTAAGAAGATAAGCTCTTAATTTGGCATATTATAGTGTTTTGTTCATTCAAAACATTAAAATATGCCAAAATGGGCATTTACGTATTTTGTGGCTCATTAAGATACGACTTAGCTAATAACCAGTTTTTATACAACTCAAGTAAAATATAATTTGCAATTTCAAGTATGATAAAACAGCGTTGTGCTCATTAAAATAGATAGTTATATTTGTTTGTGGCTCGTTAAGACAAATTTTGAAACACTTGGTAAGAAGATCGCTGGCTGACAATATTAAGAACACTATTTTTTATTAAAATATATATTTACATATTTTGTGGCTCATTAAGACTAATAATTATTTTTTTACATTTCAATTATTAGAAGATAAGCCGCAATTTTACTGATAATAAATCAGTATTTTGCTCATCTAAATATGTATTTACATATTTTTTTGTGTTTTTTTTACCATTTTGTGGCTCATTAAGACCCGATTTGACTAATCGCTCTTATTTTCACAGCTCAATTAGAAGATAAGTCGCAAAATCACTGATCATAAACCAGTATTTTGCTCATTAAAATATGCATTTAAATATCTGTGGCTCATTAAGACTAATAACTATTTTTTCACATCTCAATTAGAAGATAAGCCGCAATTTTACTGATAATAAATCAGTATTTTGCTCATTAAAATATGTATTTACATATTTTGTGGCTCATTAAGACACGATTTGACTAATCTCTCTTTTTTCGCAACTCAATTAGAAGATAAGTCGCAATTTCACCGATCATAAACCAGTATTTTGCTTATTAAAATATGCATTTAAATATTTGTGGCTCATTAAGACACAACTTGATTAATTTTTTTTTCACAACTCAATTTTTCGTTAGAATTTGAAACCTGCAATTTGACTGATTGTAGAACAGTATTTTGCTCATTAAAATATGTATTTACATATTTTAAGACACAATTTAGCCAGTAATCAGTTTTTGCTCAAGTTAATTAGTAAATTAAGTAGTACTTTGACAAAGAAAATAAAACAGTGTTTTCCTTATGATCGATTTAAAAGTGTTATGTATATAGTGTGGCTCATTAAAATATAGGTTTACGTCAAAGAGGTTAGAAGAGAGGTATTTAATGTATGTTACATAGAATTGTGGCTCATTAAGACACAGCCTACCATACTTTTCTCCAAGCAACCCATGGTATTTTTGACCCACTGTAACTTCGTTGTAGATTAAACAAGGATATTTAATGAGTCTTGCTATGTATATAATCTAAGATTTTACGTACATTTTCTAATAAATTTTATTTATGTTAGAGCGGTTCAGAACGAAGTAGCAGATCGAGAATCAGCAGCTTGGCGGACATAAGGAACGAGAACGGAGAAATAGACTACAAGAAATTGTACGAGGACCAGCTCGTGGAGAACGAGCGACTCAAAGACAAATTGAGGAAATCTGACGAAGAGTTGAGGGAAACCAAACAGACTTTAGAAAGACTCAACGTTGTTGTAAGTATTCGCAATGTTTTATAGTCTTTATAAGGAACCTTCGGTGATCGCACTCCTACTCTCTGTTTTTTTTTTCAAAACCAAGACACTTTTTTCATTCTTTGGCAAAAAATCCAGGAACGAACCAGGTAAATAAATGGATGGACGCCAAAAATAACCTTTTTTACGTTGTATTCTTTTGATTCAAGGTGAGTCGTTTTTGGCAAGCTTCCTTTGGCGTTATGTTACCCAAAATGTTTCTATGCGTAAATCTCAACAAATAGTTTACAGTTTTTGTTGGCGTCAGCATTAGATGCTATTTATGGCCGAAGTAAACTTTAAGCAGACCTAAATAATACAAAATAAGTTAAAAACCAGTTGTATTAATTTAATAAATTTCTACGAGGCATGTTTTTTAAGTAAGTACCGTTTTGGAATTAAAAAAAACGTGCAAAGATATCGCAATCATTTTATTTTTACATGAAAGCCTGTACCTTAATCTACTTTTCTACATAATTTCTGTGAATATTGAGGCACTTGTCATAACGTGGCACCAGTTTTTCAATACCCTCCTCATAAAATTCTGCCGCCTGACTGGTTAACCACTGTATCACAACTGTTTTGACTTCGTTATCGTCTTGAAGACGCTGACCGCCCAGGTGTTTCTTCAAGTGCAGGAATAAATGGTAGTCACTGGGCGCCAGATCAGGGCTGTATGGAGGATGATCTAGACTTTCCCATTTAAAAGATTTGATGAGATCTTTGGTCCGATTAGCCACATGTGGACGGGCATTGTCATGCAGCAAAACAATACCCTTACTCAACTTGCCACGTCTTTTGTTTTGGATTGCACGGCGCAGATTGTTCAATGTCTCACAATAAGATGCTGCATTGATTGTCTCATTACGAGGCAGAAACTCCACTAGCAATACTCTTTTCTGTCCCAAAAACTGTGCACATGATTTTCCGGGCAGAAATTGTTTGCTTAAACTTCACTGTTTTGGGTGATGATGAATGTCGCCATTCCATGGACTGTTGTTTCGATTCTGGTGTGACGTAGGCCACCCATGTTTCGTCACCAGTAACAATTTTGTCTAAAAATCTTCACCTTCATTGTGGTACTGCTCAAGGAAAGTCAATGCACTGCCTAAACGTTGGGTTTTGTGCAAATCCGTCAACATTTTCGGAACCCAACGTGAACACAATTTCCGGTAATTCAAGTTCTCGGTCACAATGCGATACAAAACACTACGAGAACATTGAGGAAAGTAGTCGCACAATGATAAAATTGTAAAGCGTCTGTTTTCTTTCACCTTTTCGTCCACTTTCTGCACCAAATCTTCATTAACGACCGAAGGACGCCCACCTGTTCTTCATCATGCACATTTGTGCGGCCATCTTTAAATGTTCTCACCCATTTCCTTACCATTCCATCACTCATAATGTTTTGTCCGTAAACTTCACAGATCTCACGATGAATATCGATCGGTTTTACGCCTTTAGCACTAAGAAATCGTATGACAGCCCGTACTTCACAATCGGCGGGGCTCACGATTGTCGGAGGCATCTTAAACACTTAATAAACAACGTATACAATGAAGAATCAGACTGTACTGGCGTCTGTGCATAGACAAGAGATGTAGGTAACCAGCGCGCATGCGCGGAACGCCGACCGTAGCGCTGCGGCGGCGGAATCGCAAAACGGTACTTACTTAAAAAACATGCCTCGTACATTAAAAGATGAAATCACTGTTTCTATTATGTATTTATTTTTTTATTTATTATTATATTTTCTTGTATATAGGTAGCGATCTTTAAAATATATTACTGTTTATTTAAATATGTTTTGTAGCAAATTGATCATACTCCAATATTTTGTCTGCATTATTGAAATTCCTTTCATAGACACAGGTCCAGTAGACATACATGAGATTTATTTTGTTTCTTTTTCTTTTCAGACTAGTAAAAATTCTTTATCGGAACTAGAAAAACGGGAGCGGAGAGCTATGGAACGAAAACTAAGTGAAATGGAGGAAGAACTGAAGGTAAGTATTTGTGGAGAATATGTTGAATGGAAGACAGTGCAGTGCGTGAACACATTATCTCCTGCTTAGGTTAAATATACAAAAAGATACAGCACGCCACTGCAATATATTTAGAAGTTTTCTCCGTGTAAAAAGACCAAGGTTCTTTTGACGAGTTGAAATTGAACGTTGAATTTTGTACATGTTGAAATTAAAACCATATACTCAGGTCTACAGTCTCTTGAAGCTGCGAAAAATCAAACTTCTAAATTAATGTAAAATGATGACCGTTTATGCCGCGAAAAAACGTATATTTCACACTCTTAAGGAAATCAAAATTTATAGGGAATTTCCCGTTGACCTAGAACTATGAAATTTTGCAAATAGTACGGTCTTATTCTACAAGTATAGGGACAAACCTGGAAACCATAGAATAACTAACTGAAAGAAATGAAAACTCCTATGTTAAAGCCTGGAAACACGCGCTCGACGCGATCCAAGCGGGCTACTGGCAGAACTAAAAGTTCGCGCCATATTTTTAAATGGACCTTTACTGCCAGTTCATAAGTTTTTTACTTATATTTGGTAATTTCAATCTAGATTATGAACTTATTTGTAACAAAACATTTTACAAAATAAAAGTAATGTATTTTGATACAAATAAATTAATAATCTAGGTTGAAATTATCCCTGAAATTAGAATAAAACACGAAAAATCTGTAACTTTATTATTTTATTATAACATTGTTAAAATTACATAATAACACATTCAACACTATACAAGTATATATAAAAGTTATCAGAATTTATACAATCAGTTATAAGTAATTATAAAAAAGGTTATAAATTATAAATAAATAATTCATTATATAAAAGACATATAGTTACCGTGAATATAATTTGGTATAACTTTAATCTCAACTTTAATGACCTATTCAAATAGAAACATCTTACAATTCACATTATATAATACACAAAGCCAAGGGACAAAATTGTTATTAAATCTATTCTCGATGACTCGAAGCATTTTTTTTTCAAATAAAACAGGACATATAGGGCTTATAAATAATACAAGGGTATAGAAAATATATAAATAAGTAAATACAAATATATTTTCAACCTAATGATTAATGATTATACTCGTTTAAATAAATAAATGATCTTTTTAAAATTACTTGTTTGTCTTTGCAAATTTGTATATTTAATATTTATCTAAAAGCGTACACTTACATAAATTACTGCACAACCTTTAAAATTAAGCTTTTAATATGTTATACAAATTCTTGATTCGATATAAATACACTTAAATAAAACTTTAAAATTAATGATCTTCCAAATTTCTGAGACAGCCATTTTGTTGAAAGAATTTGTTTTGATTATGAGAAATTTCATAAAAATTATCACAGGGATTAATTAATCTTATATATTAAACTACTTGGCTTTTAAATTTCACAATCCTATCGTCCAAAATACTCTAAATTCGCAAAAATCCGTAAAATATTCCCATAAAAACAAATCACAATTCACTTCCACTTCACAGAAACTGACAGACATTGCCAAATATGGAATGACGTTTATTTTTCAATTTATTTTACTGATCTAACTGATCCGGGTCACTTAGAAATTAAATTTTTATTAAATTATTTAATTATAATTGTTTCTGGCGAAAGCAACTTCATATCAATGTTTATTCATAGAGTAACAAAGCACATCACTGTTAAATTATCAACATTTTATATAAATATTTATATTTTTCAACTACTCCAATTACTCCACAGAGAATTAAACGAATTGTTAATTAAACTAACTCTGTGGATGACTTGATAAAATTATGATGAAATTAAAGTCCCTAGATGAATATCTAGGGACTTTAGATGAAATTTCTACGCAGCGCCATCTATCCCTCTACTGGCAGAAACTCCGCCGTGTTTCCAAAATTCAAATGGCAGTTTCATCCGCCTGCTGGAAACTATACCTTTATAATTAAATCATAAAAAATATAGTCTTGTCCGTTTTTTTTTAAATATTTTTGCAGGTTATTTTAAACCAGGTATGCTGTATGTTTTCCATATTTAATCTAAGGGTTCCTTAGTATTGGTCGCCATTGCGCAAATTGCAATATGCTTGATATGCGATATACATGCATTAGATATTTTTTATTGCTTGAGACTTTTTTCTACCCTTCATTTATTTTTGTAGAAGTAGAACGTATGGTGAATAATGGAGTTTATTTATTTAAAGATAGTTCATTTTCAGTTTTGTTTTTTTATACTTTATAAAGATTTTTATTTACATCATACCTGACAGGTAAAACGTTATGTGTAGACGTGGCTTTAGAAAATATTGCTGATTGTACAGGGTGGACTTTTTTTTCATTTCAACAACGCCCAATCAATATAGAGCGGGTCAAAAATGAATAATTTTAAAAATACAGGGAGTTGAAAAACTAATAAAACTAAAAATTTGCTATCTTGTTTGTAGATTAATTCTGTTATACATTGTATATCTTTTTTTAACAATACTCCTAACATATTGTTTCTCTGCTATTTCTGAGATACATATTATATATTATACTTTCCTAAATATTCTATAATATACCTATAGATTAGAAATTTCATAAAATCATTTCTTTTTTGTAAAAATAAAAATCATTAATGTCATACTTAGGTTAGGTATCATGTCAATGAATAAATTTTTTGGTGTTTTTTTTTCTTTTCAACTAAACCACTTTGAGATTGGATAGCTAGAGGTTCAAAAGAGATTTAAGTCAGATTGAAAATATTAATTTTAATATATACCGTATGATAAAAAAAAACGGCGTCAAGTTGGCCTGAAGGGGACGATTGATGATATTTCCAAGCTAACTCTGACGCCGTTTTTTTTTCGATCGTATGGTATTAATTTCATATTTCTATCTATAAAAGTCTCGTAATATATTGGTAAATATACAGGGTGCTTCATAAGTTAGTACTTTAAAGCAAAAAAAAAAAATTTTGAGGTATAGTAAAATCTTACTAGAAATCGATATATATATAGTATGGATAAATGAATAAACAAATCAAAAGAAACAAGTCTAAAAATTTTGTATAAAAATTCAACCGTCCCGATTTTTTTTGCAAATGCTTTTTACACCCTGTGTATAATAAAAATGACTAAATCAGCAAATTTATTTGATTTTATCTGGAATATTTGATAAACGCTGATAAATAAAACTGGGTTGATCTCTTTTTTCGGGCAATAGCTATCCAATCGAAACTACCGTACGGTCGACGAAAAAAAAACAGCGTCGCGGTAGCCTTCGAAACGTCGAATCGAAGGCTATCATAACACCGTTTTTTTTTTCGATCGATCGTACGCTACATCTAAGAACTACTTTTCTAGCAATTGCAAAAATTGAAAGCCGAAAACGAACGGCTAAAGGCAGACAACCGGTCTCTGACCCGTGTGATCAACAAATTGACGAATTCGGCGAGACCATAGGTAACCAACCACACACGGCCTTATCTGCGCTTGCCCGACCGCTATTCTCGGTGTTTTGTTTGTTACGTCGAGCTGTCATTCACTTTTGTCTTTTTATTCTCTCTATCTCTCTCAAAAAATTTGCCTTTTGATAAATCACAAAGTCTACCGGACGTTTTTCAGAAGTGGGTTAGCCCCATAACTTTTATTTTGTCGGTATATATGACATAAATCAGATAATATTTAAAAATAAACACGTAAAAAATAGTTTTTTTGGTGTAACCTTTGAATAAGAAGACTAAGGAAGGAGCATAATACTATCCATGTATTCATGCATGGTGGGCGGAAAAGCCACCATAAAAGCTCTCTAGGGTGGGGATCCTTGACAGTTCTGTTTGACGATTCATTTGACACATTTGAATTTGATTTGAAATTTTGTGGATTTGTCACTCTTTACGGAGCTTATTTTATGTTATTTATTATTTATTCTACTACTGATAGTTGTATAAAGGTAGTAAATCTAGATGGAAATTGTGGCAGAACTTAAATTAACAGTGACACTATCGCGATTTATCGAAAAAGACTCTAAAATAGTTGGTTGTGTAGCGTGCGGTAGATCTCGGCAAAAATTGAGTGAAATAATGGAACAACTTTTCGCTAGTAAGTGACTATATAATATACATACGTGTAGTAAACCGATCATTTATGAAATTCACTTAAATTAACTAAATTATATATTTTTCTTGCATTTTTAGCTTTTATTTATTACTTGTCAAAGATTAGATGTCAAAGAATTTAGATACGTTAATTTGACTTACCTGCTTCAGTAGCGTATCGGATGTTTGTGTTAATAAATACTTATTATAACTTATCTATTTTTATTAGAATTATATATTTTTATAACAATTTTAATAACTACCAACATTTATTCACAACGTAAAATAAAACAACAAATTATTGAGTCTACCCCACGTCTACCCTACATCATAGTTTTACATTTTTTAAATAAAATTAGAACGACACTGATAAACCGGAATTTAAGTCGGCCATATTTGAGGCCCATCGCGGCGTACCTAAGATTTTTGATATGCTCCTTCCTTAGTCTTCTTATTCAAAGGGTGTAACAAATAGTTTTTTACGCCTAAAAATAGTTTTTTACGCCTAAAATAAAATGTTATGCCTAAAAATAGTTTCTACGCCTAAAAAATAGTTTTTACGCCTAAAAAAATGTTTTTTTCGCCTGAAAATAGTTTTACGCCTAAAAAATAGATTTTTTACGCCTAAAAATAGTTTTTTTACGCCTAAAAAATAGTTTTTTACGCCTAAAAAATAGTTTTTTACGCCTAAAATAAAATGTTATGCCTAAAAATAGTTTCTACGCCTGAAAATTGTTTTTTACGCCTAAAAATAGTTTTTACGCCTAAAAATAGTTGTTACGCCTAAAAAATAGATTTTTTGTTAAAGAACGAGAGTGGTCATTAAAATATTTCATTATTCTATTCAGAATGCCATTTTCTATCGAATAAAGTAAAAAAATACCGACGGGACCATTTAAAAATTAAAAGTTGTCAGATGGCTGTCGAAAAATAACAGAAAAGAAAATGTACTTGTAATTTAAATTTGACAGATAGAGTCACTGTCAAAAAAATGATGGTTTGTCACAAGGCAAAAAAAATGTTTTGTATCTTAATTGTACACATTCATTACCGCTTGGCTGTTGTCTTGACATCTTTTTCTCACCAATGAGTGCCACAATGTTCTCATTTTTAATCTCTAACGACTCTATTTTACTGGTTTTCTCTTGTTTGAATTTTTTTTTGTTATTTTGAAAATTTTTTGGGTGTGTTTTGTTTGGAAAGTGAGCTGGTTTTTTGTTGTTTTTTCGTACTACCCTCTGCAAGATTGATGTTTTGAGGCTCTTATTACAGCTTTTTTTCCGAATATTAATTTACAGAAGTTTTTTAAAATAATATTGTCTTATGTATGGCATTGTAAAGTGCTGTCTATGCCATATTATCGAAAGAAAACGATGTTATAGTAGGCGTAGAAATAATATTTTGACTTTGAGTTTTGCTATATCCATTCGCTGAATTTTTTTTGGCATGCACAGTTGAGTGATTAGTGATTACTACTTACTAACCCAACCCTTCCTATCACTTATTATCACTTATACGTATTTCAGCGACAGATATAGTAATGTTTGAAATTAATGTTAATTCTATGCCTGCTATGACGTTCTTTTCGTTCAGTGACTTTGCATTTCATAATTATTGAAGTGAAATAGACTCAAAAGGCCATAAATGCTTTACAAAGGTGTACTTTCTACTATTTTTTAGTATTAATAGTGATGTTTTGAACGTTTTTGTTTTATTTGTGTGTATTTCACTTTTCAAAAGCTATTTTTTCAAAAACATTTTTTGTATTTTAAGTGTTTCGCATTGACGCTTTACTGATGTTTGAGTGATTGTTTCTGTGTAAATTGAAAAAGAACTCTTACAATTGCAGGTAAAAACGACGCCCTGTATAGGGTGTCCCAAATGTAGAGTGTTATATATTTTTGAGAAGCTCATAGCAAGCCAGATCATACTGTTTATAAATATACAGGGTGTTCTATTTAAGAAAACACAATTTTAGTTCATATCTTCAAAAATATTCTTTTCGTAGAATAACAGACTATGCCACTGTATTCTACGTAAAAGTTCTACAATAAACAGTTTTTACCTTCTCAAAATGGTGTACACCCTGTACAGTAATATCTGTGTGTTTATATGATTTTTCTAAGAATTAATCTGTTTAAAATGTTTTAGCTAATTTTTTTACTACTATGGTGATAGTAAGAGTTCTTATTTTGCCATATAATGATTTTAACTGAATTTTCTTTACCTTGTTTTTGTTACAGAACCTGGAAAACTTGAAAACGGAGAACCAGCGACTCAAAGACGAGAATGGCGCCCTCATACGAGTCATCAGCAAGTTGTCCAAATAGCATAGGGCCTAACCCTTCCTTCTATATGTTTGTTTACTTTTTATTTGTTGTCGATAGGTAATATTATTGCATTTTTTTCTAGAGCATCAAGGGGAGATCAGAACGAAAACTATAGGTTATGGTAAAATGCCTAAAAATGTAATTTTTACTTTTTATTTAGGTAGAAATGGAACAATTTGTTCAAGGTGATTCATTTATACATACAGGGTCTTGTTTAAATCTCTCAATATAGTCCATAAAATGAATAACTTTGAATTTTGACCGTTATTTCTTACCAACACGGCAAATATAAAATCCCTCTATCAAAAAAGTTACTGATATCCTTTAAATTGAGTGCCTGAACGAATCAGATAGGTAACTCTTTTTACTTTCGTGAAATAGAAAAGGAAAATAACAAAACAAGTGACAGTTTTTCCTCTTCTTCCAAAAATCAACACGAAATGTCATAATTATCAAAAGTAAAATGTCATCAGCTTTTGACATTTCTAAATATCAGACCAATGCCGTCTCTAATAGAACAGCCTCCAAGCGAGATTTATGACGTCACGCTAGTTAGATACTACGGATTAATAAATATGTTGTAGAATACATGGAAAACATAACTATTTCTCTTATTTTTGGTTTGTATTTTAAAATCAAAGTTTGTTTTTCAAATACAAACCAAAAATACGAGGAATAATTATGCTTCCATGTATTCTACAACATATTTATTAATCCGTAGTATCTAACTAGCGTGACGTCATAAATCTCGCTCGGAGGCTTGTTGTATTAGAGACTGCATTGCGTCAGCATGGCCGCAAGTTGCTAACCTAATAAAATAAACACTAAAAAAGCCCGCGGGAACTGTCAAATTCAAAGTTATTCATTTCACAGACTATACCATAGAATCGCCTTAAAAACTCAATGGAAATTTGGAAATGTATAAACGGTATTCACCATTTTAGAATAAGCAAAAACTTTTATAAAGAATGCATTTTTCTCAAAATGTCAACAATAAAAAAGTTTTACCTCTTGTAAAGACAATCCGGGGACATACTGTATACACGATCGAAAAAAAAACGACGTCACAGTAGCCGATTAAATCTTACATAAGTTTAGGTATTTTACGTATAATCCTAGATGCTGACTATTATATTTTTACTGTTTTTGTTTCGAAAAAAAATCTGTTGAATTCTCCCCAAATTATTATCTGTTTTTCAACACGTCCCTACACTGTATTTATTTTTTTTAGACATATATTTATCCTTAGATGTTTTTGTACATTCAAGTATTAGTTTTTTCGTACTATATATACAGGGTGACTCACGGCGATGGTAGGTTAGACGTTTATAGAGACATACAGGGTGATTTCGATTTTTACGTGGTGGCACGCACCTGCTCCAGCTATTTAAATTATTTACAGTGTTGCCGCTTCATATTAAAAGCTGAGAAATAGGTATAGGATAGCACGATAGAAAAATTATGAGAAATAGAAGTTGTTGCAAAAAATGTAATAATATACCGGGTGTTCTATTCTACTTGTTTTCAAATAAAGCAGCATCACTGTAAAGTTCAAAATGTCTTAGCTAGATGGAGCAAGTGCCTTTATGTAAAATTCTAAATTCTCAAAAAAATCATATCACCGGTTCTCCATAAACGTCTCATCTACAATCGCCATGAATCACCCTGTATACATACCATTAAACAGGGTGACCATTTTATCAGAATTCCCTCGTATATACCGGTTTAATCATACCCGTTTACAAATTCGCATATATACAGGGTGTATATAAAAGATATGTAACGAGAAACGGTTCTGATAAAAATTACCTTTAGTTATATACGTATATATTTATTATTTTTTGTTTTTTTTTTCTCTTGACTTTATGAGATTTGTTACAAGTCTTATTCATGTAGAATGTTTTCCATAGTCGGTTCACTGAGTTCTCATGGAATTTAGTTTAGTCTATACGAAGTAACAAAAAAAAACAGTGACTTATGCTTTCTTGTGATAGTTTATATATTTTTTTGTGATTTGACTTAGTTTTTTGCGTTTTTTTTTTCTTTCGCGTTAACATAGACCATGCATTTTTTTTATTTTTTAAGTTTTTTTTCTTTGGTCCAAACTGCCTACACATGAAATTATGGCCTACGAAACTTGACAGAATAAAAAAAATCAATTTTATTGATGCCAAATTTCTCTACTACTAATTAATTAATAAAAGCCAACTCGAAGAAGACTAAGAATATAATTTTTTTAACCAGTTGTAATGGTAGAAACTAAAAGTTACAGTAGATTGTCATGGTTATTAAATTTATACTTTTTCTGTAAATTTGGGAACTACTCATAGAATAACGCATTGCTGTTGCCACTAACGCAGAAATTGACAAAATCTGTAAATTTACACTTTTTCTATAAATTTACAGATTTTCTGTAAATTTACAATTTTTCTGTAAATTTACAGAAAATCTGTAATTTTTTTCAGTAAATTCTAAATTTGCACTTTTTCTGTAAATTTACACATTTCTATCAATTTACAGTTTTTCTGTAAATCTACAGTTTTTCTGTAAATTTACAGTTTTTCTGTAAATATACATTTTTTCTGTAAATTTACACTTTTTCTGTAAATTTGGGAACTACTCATAGAATAACGCATTACTGTTGCCACTAACGCAGAAATTGACAAAATCTGTAAATTTACACTTTCTATAAATTTACAGATTTTCTGTAAATTTACAATTTTCCTGTAAATTTACTGATTTTCTGTAAATTTACAGAAAATTTGCAATTTTTTTCAGTAAATTCTAAATTACACATTTGCACTTTTTCTGTAAATTTACAGTTTTTCTGTAAATATACATTTTTTCTGTAAATTTACACTTTTTCTGTAAATTTTGGAACTACTCATAGAATAACGCATTACTGTTGCCACTAACACAGAAATTGACAAAATCTGTAAATTTACACTTTCTATAAATTTACAGATTTTCTGTAAATTTACAATTTTTCTGTAAATTTACTGATTTTCTGTAAATTTACAGAAAATCTGTAATTTTTTTCAGTAAATTCTAAATTTACACATTTGCACTTTTTCTGTAAATTTACACTTTTTCTGTAAATTTGGGAATTACTCATAGAAATTGGTAGAAAATCTGTAATTTTACAGAAAATTTGTAAATTTACAGGAATAGTGTAAATTTTTCATAGACCACTTATTGATTATGTATAATTAAAAAAAAACAATCTGTTTCTTTTAATTTCTATTGTTCTGACTTAACCCTATTTTGAACTGATGTTAAACGTTGCTAATTCCTATATAATATTAACAAAATATCACCACGTACAATACCTATAATTCTATCGATGTTTTTTTCTCTTTTAAGTGTAAAATACTCTGTATAAAACTACGTTTTAGCTTTAGTCTTAAGGTATTTATAAATAAAACTAGTGTTTCTTACATTGGGAAAGTGTTATATCTGGCAGTTTAGTGTTTTAGTTATCGATTTTAAAGAAAAATCAGGACTTTACGATAATAATGTAGATGGTCCTATTATTTAAACACAATATTTCTATTGTATGGTGCTAATAATATCAATTATTATTATCTACATTTCTATTTCAGACATTGATGATTGTTTTTGTAGCTTTGTTTTATTTTTTTTATAAAAAAAAGCGCACCTACAATTTTACATCACTTTTCAGGATAAAATTTTTATAAAAAAAATATATTATGTCCCTATTTATTGATTCTGGGTGCGCCACTGTATCTGTAGTATATTTTTTAAATTATTTTGTACGTATTTTGCAAACTTGTGCCTTGCTTGATGTTTGTTTATTATAAATCTCTGTAATTTGTGTAAATTATTTGAAAAAAAACGAAAACTTTGTTGTTAGAGGCTCTTATGTGAATAATGATTTTATATAGCTGATTATTAAATTAAAAAAATGAGATTTTGATGTTGTTTTTGTTTTAAAATACACCATTTCTTTCTAAAGTGCCCTGTACACAGTAACAGTCTTAGTACAGGGTGAATCAACGATGGATTAAAGTTATTTATCTCATTTGTTTTGAGATTTACATAAAATTTTTAAATATAATAAGAGTTATAGGGAAAGGTTAAGTAACGCATTTCAAAATTATTACAGAGTATACAGGGTTCTCCAAAAAAGTGTGGCGGATATTTAAAAATATATTTTTTATTTTATTTTTAGATTCTGTGTACAATTCTATAACTAATACTATAAGGAGAGTTTTATAGAGATGAAAAAAAGATATATGAAAAGATATTTTAGTTAGATGCTACAGGGTGTTCAAAATATATTTATGAATTTGAACTACATACTTCAATTAAAAATTTGAAATTTTTTAACACACCCTATATATTTTTATTTTTTCTGATAGATTTTATAAAATTCAACTTTTATTAAGTATGTCATATACCTATATTAACCATTAAAAATAGGCTAACTATTAAAAGTAGCTATATGAAATACTTAATAAAAGTTGAAGTTTTCTAAAATCATCACACTCAATATATACTACGGTGTACCATTTAAAAAAAAGATTTTTTTTAATTTTAAGTAATTCAAATTCATAAATATATTTTGAACACCCTGTTACATCTAACTAAAATATCGTTACATATATCTTTTTCTTCATCTCTATAAAGCTCCTATTAAATTTTAGTAGTCCAACTTCAGAAACAATTACATCACTGACAAATTTTTACCACACTGAAATCTAAAATTTTTTTAAACAAATTGAAATATTACAAAAACTATTAATTTTAGTTATATAACATTATATATAAAAAGTTATGGAATTTTACACAGAATCTAAAAATAAAATAAAAAAATAGGGTGTTACATTTAAAAAAACATACGTTATATCCGCCACACTTTTTTGAAGCACTCTGTATATTCTGTAATAATTTTAAAATGTGTATCTTAACCTTCTCTACAACTTTTATATTCAATATTTTTTTGTAAACCTCGAAAAAAATTAGATAATTGACTTTATTGTTGAAAATAAAATACTTGAGGCTTAAAAATTTATTATTTTCTTTAAATATACATATAATAATGATATATCACATTAAAAGTAAACAAATTAATAAAAATATGTACAAATTATTTACTTAAATCATGCGAATTCTTAGAAGAATCATCTTCTCTCGAGTATAACGCAATATTATAAATGACACAATAAATCCCTTACGATCCTGAGGAACCACAACACGATTTCGTGGCTGCCGTTTGTTCTTGTTCGTCATCGACTACCACGACGTTCCTTCTTTGCGAGTTTTGCCTTGATAACGAGTTATTTAACGATTCTTTTTGTTCGTTTATACTTAGCATGTTTTTTGATAACACAAGAAACATATCTTCGACTCCTTGGTTAAGTTTAGCTGATGTTTGGAAATGGACTGCCCCAACTTTATTTGCGTAGCTAGAAAGGGATTATTTTTTTATTAAAGTCTTATTAAAATAATAATGATATACATACTCTTCTGCTTCTTCGAGAGAAACGTGCCGGTCTTTCTCAAGATCGATTTTATTGCCTACTATTATTAGACAAACATCTTTTCCGAGCATCTTTCTCAGTTCTTTTACCCAAGTTTTCACTTGTTGGAATGATTTTTCATCTAAAAATCACGTAATTTATGCTCTCTATTGAATGTAAGTACTGAAAAGTAAGTACCTGTAATATCATACACTAATACTGCTCCATTTGATGATCTGTAGTAAATTGGCCCTAAGGCATGGAATTTTTCTTGTCCTGCTGTGTCCCAAATAGCCAAATTCAGCCTTTTTCCATCAATATTTATCTTTTTATTCAGAAATGACGCCTAAAATTTATATGTTAGAAACCCTTCGCTCTCATACATGTTTTGAAGTATAATTAACAAATTTATTACTTTTCCTTCGATATATCTTGTTTTTTACTTTGTATAAAGCATTATTTCTAAATTTAAGGTAAAAAAATGTAAACAAAATGCGTCTTGGACGTTACCTGAATAGTTTGTAAATGATTATTATTAAATTTGTCCTCAACATATCTCAAAACTAAGCTAGTTTTGCCTACACAGCCTTCCCCTAGCAGCACAACTTTAAAATTCTTTATTCCATTAACTGGACTAGCCATAATTTCTTTAAAATCAGTAAATTTGCAAAATAAAACACCTTACAATTGTCATTTTGCAATCAGCTGATTTATGGCAAAAGTTGGCGTTGTTGCAAAATCGACAAAATCTGCAAATAGTATCAAGATGTCCCGCTAGATGACTTCGGACAAAGAACCTGTTTTAAAAATTAATTTTTAAATGTTTTTAAGGAATATTGCTGTTTATAAACATTTTATATAGTTATCTTGAACTATAACAAGTTGTTTTGAATTTATTACAGATGGTGTATGTCCTAATTGCATTTAATTTACTTGTAAAGCGTACGTGACTGTTCAAAACTGGTTCAAATTTCCCGCCCGAAAATGACCGGATGTTTCCAACACTAACCAATAAATCAAGTGTCTTTTTGATAGATTTGACTTATTTTTTAACATTGTTTAGTAATGTCAGGCAAATTATTTGTATTTTTAAATCATTCAAGGATTTTTAAATGGTTTCCTTCGAGGAATTAATGTAGTTTAAAGAAGTTCGTTTTAAAATTCGTTCATGCAAGTGCAACGGTGCGCAGAACGATGCGCGTCAATTCATCTGTGATCTTAGCCGTCATCTGTGTAGGTTTGGTAAGGAGTGCGAGCGGGTTTTTCATCAGATTTTATAGGAAAATACGCGATATTATCGAGTGATTTGTGTGAACATCGACTTATTAGGGTAAGTACTTTGATTTTACGTAGGTGTCATTAGGTTTTTTAGTGTAGTTCACTTATAAATCGGCTAAATGTATTGGCGTCAGTTCTTGTTCAAGCCTACTGGTTACGGTAAAAAGTAACTTTATTAAGGTCATACGCGTTCAAAGGGCTTATCAATTAGATTGGCTTGAATTCAACCACCTGCTCGAGTATAGCAACAAAAAATTAGCATGCTTGAGTTTTGTTTTATTTAGGAAAAGAAAACTTAATTGAGAATCGGACGTCTTGGTGAATGACCATGTCGGAGCCACTCTGGCGCACGTAGACACAACTTTCACTGCTGCACGTGCATTTTTCAGGTAATTATCTTTAAAAAAACCTTCGGGTTGTCTGGCGAAAACACTCCGCACCGCCTAATACACCCAGCTGCAAAAACCTTCAGCAAAAATTCGCCAATGTTCTTGACACAAAAATTGCTCCAAATAGGTCTTGCAAATGGAAAATAGAAAGTGGTCGCTTCTCGATGGGTAAAGTCGCTTTTAAAATGCAAATTTTTAATTGTTATTTCCTTAATGGGTTCGGTAATGATGTAACAAGAAATGGCACAAGAATTATTGAGCCGGGAGTCCATGTTAGTGTGTTATTTAGCCTCTCTAAATGGAAAGTGATTTATTTTATATTAATATGTATTTTATTAAATTGTTTTTAATCGTCGAAATATGTAATTGTTTATTACCGAAATAACGCAAGGACATGTGGTTTAAGCAGAGATACAAGTCTATAAATAAATTGATATATGTAAATAGGACTAAATTAAGATGTCTTCCTTAAAATATGCATTTATTTTTGTTATAAACAACCTACCACACCCCGAGCGATAGAAAACAAAGGAATTGCATCCACTTAAAATTATTACGATTAAAAATGATATTTTATCAGTTAACAGGTAACAGACAAATAATAATAGCTTTTTTATAGGTACCTGTGTAACGGTTTGACTGCATAATTTTTATCTTATCATATAATATTTAAAAATAAAATGGTTATTCTTGGGAAAAATTATATCAAACATGTAAGTTTTGTTGATCTGTGTTGCTCTTATCGCTGCAACAATTGTTTACCACAAATATCTTGGCCAATATCAGAGTTTATATTGATAAACAACAGGGAAAAATATGCCGTTTTCATGGAACATTATTTTATCTGTTCTTCATTTTTTCTCTCTTCATAACAGAATTTTAAAAATAGTATTAGTATTATCCTGGAAAAAAATTGTTTTTTATTTTAATTTCCTTGATTTTTTACCAACATTTTTGTTGTTTTTTTTTCTGATTTTTGCTTGAGAATATGTTCTAATTAAAGTAATAACTAAAAATACTAATACTAATAAAAAAAACTAATGTAATGTACAACGAACTGCTAGACAGAAAAGACATACTAATAAATAACAACACTGGAAATAGTGGAAGAATATATCACGAAGAAGTAGAATCACTACTTATTTACTAGAGATTTGTCCTTTCTGTAGTAAGATCTCAGAAATAAAATGCGTCCAAACGATTCTCATTTGAGACCTAATCTTATTGCAAAATAAATTAGTAGAAGAAAAAACTCTTTCAAGTTTGACTTTAGTTGGCAAAATTGTTAAAAGATGGTCATATTCTTTTAGATATAATATTCTTAATTTCAGTCTTAATAATTAGTCCCGGGATTTTCTGGTTCTGAACCTGTGTATAACTAACAAAGAATTTGGGAACTACTTATACCGGGTGCTGCATCGTCGGACGGGACATAGGAAATCCCATGTAAATTTTAATGGGGTCAATAATAAAATTATTGGCTTCCCTAATTATTTTAGAGAATAATTCTATTTAGGTTTATTGAAGAGCACTAAAACCCACATTCAAAAGAATAACTTTAGATATTTTTGATTAGCTCGTTTACGAGTTATCGCCGATTTCTTTTTAAATATTTCTCCTTTGTTATGGCCCTGTATTTACTTATGAGCACCAGTCAAGGTAAAAGATAACTGTCAAACGAAGTTGTCATTTCAGAAATTTACGTATTTAGTGCTTTATTACTATTGAAAACTCATTCCTACATCGGAAATCTTAAAGATGTACCTATTTATAAATACAAATTAATATGAATTAAAGTAAAATAAAGTAATCAATTACAAGGTTAATTATAGTATTATTACAATATTCAATAACTTATTAATTTAGGTACTATTAAATTGTTAGAATTTCAGGATTTAAGAAGATGTTCAAATATTCCTCCATCGACTGCTAGACAATACCCCAGGCGATCATAAAATTCTCTTCTTACATTCGCTAGTTGGTAAACTGAAATTCTATTGCATTCGGCAGAAATAGCATTTTTTAACTCGTCTAGATTTGGGAATTTTTTATCCTTGTATATCCTGTTTTTTAAATGGCCCCAGAGAAAGAAATCATTGGGCGAAATATCAGGAGACCTTGCTGGCCAATTTACTGTATGATTTAGGCCAATAACGTTTCCGTTAAAACTATTGTCTAAATATTCCCGAACAGCCAGAGTACTATGTGCCGGGCTGATTTTCCCTAGCGGCATCATGTAAAGCAGGTAAAATATGATTTTCGAGTAGTTCCAAATAATATTCTGCATTTAAATTTCGCCTAAGAAATAATGGCCCGATAATATTGTGTCCGAATATACCTGCCCAAACATTTGCGTTCTGTGGATATTGCGTCCTTATTTCGACAAACCTGTGTTGGTTTTCTTTGTTCCAATATCGATAATTTTGAACATTGGGTTCATTATTTAAGGTAAACGTGCATTCGTCAGTGAAACATATGTTTTTTAAAAATTCCCTATCCGTGTTTGCTCTTTCCATCATATCAAAACAAAGCGCCTGCCGCCGTATTTCGTCCCCATCTCGTAGCTCTTGGTGCTTTTCATATTTGAAGGAATAGTATTTATGTCGTTTCAAAATTCGAAACGCTGTAGTGTGATCTATTCCTATTTCAACCTCAAGTTTCCTTGTGCTGATCTTTCCATCGTTCTCTTCCACGCACAATAAAACTTACAAGTCGGTATCATTTCTTGCATCTTCTCTTTGTTCCTGCCTTACCTCACATCTGCAGTTATTTATTAGGGTACCTTTGGTCTCAAATCTCTGGATATTCCTTGCGATTTTAGATTTTCCAGGTATCGGTCTATTCGGATACAGAGCAGCAAACACGTCCGACACCTTTTGATAACTATTTCCTTGATAATACCATTTGATCATCAATAACTTTTCTTCGGTAGTGTAATTCATGGCTAATATTTTCGATGTAGGTATGAGTTTTTAATAATAATAATAAAGCACTAAATAGATAAATTTCTGAAATGACAACTTCATTTGACAGTTATCTTTTACCTTGACTGGTGCTCATAAGTAAATACAGGGCCATAAGAAAGGAGAAATATTTAAAAGGAAATCGGCGATAACTCGTAAACGGGCTAATCAAAAATATCTAAAATTATTCTTTTTAATGTGGGTTTTAGTGCTCTTCAATAAACCTAAATAGAATTATTCTGTAAAATAATTAGGGAAGCCAATAATTGACCCCATTAAAATTTACATGGGATTTCCTATGTCCCGCTCGACGATGCAACACCCGGTATACATATATCAATCGGTTTTAAAACGTTCTTCGGCGTCTTCCGATGCCCAGTCGCCATTGCTCCCTATCTAGCCAGAGGTCATCTTCGAGCTCTCGTCTTGTCTATTCCTTCTCTCCAGCTCTTGCGTGGTCCAGTTGAGGATCTGTTTTTTAAACCTCTCCTCTGACATTCTTTATATGTGGTCATACCATGTTAGTTGATTCGTTACTATCTCTAACTAACTAAATGGGAACTATATACTTTAACAGCTTAATTGAAAGAGCGATTTTCGAAAAAATGGAGGTTTTTTAAATTGAAAAGTTTTTGCACCAAACGTTTCAATTACTGTTTACTATAGAAAATAAAGTCTTCCTACTCTGACTGCCTGCCCACCAACGGATAGGAGTTAAAGAAAAAATAAAGAGACAAGAAGCGAACACTCCTCTAATTGGACCAGAACCGTTGAGCTTTCCAAGTGGAAATCAACTTAAAGCGGAACTCAAGAACCTGGAAGACTCCATCCGTAACATGGAATGGGAATCCTCCAACGGTCTAAGACACTCGAAGAAATTTCTCAGGACTTACAACCGAGAAAAATCAAAGATTTTCCTTGATTTAAGTTAGAACAAACACCTCAGTAATGAAGCTAAGAAACAACGACGAATGCAGATTCTGTAGGGAAAATGGGGAACACCTGATCAACTGAGTACCCTCTGTAAAACCGTCTCAGATACTGGCTTTTGTCAAAACCCTGAGACTGTTTGATTAACTTCCCCTCATGCAATCCATATCTTATACTGTTTACATGTAATCCGGTGAATGATTTGCCTTCTAAGTAACTCTCTTTTGTTCGGGTTAACCCCTAAATGTTAGCCGACATTGCGTATAAATACGTTGACGCGCCAGCGGCTTGTGGCACGTGCCACAGGTTAAACGGGACCAGGCTTCGATTGGCCGAGAGAAGGCGTCGGGATTCCCGCCAATGGCAGGGGGTTATTCACCTCGGGATCGATAGACGAGGGCCCGACGACCACCGGGTCCGTCTTTGAAGCGCTCGTGCCACAAGTCTTTGAAGAACATTTGTTTTGGAAGTTCCTAAAAAAATATGCAGACTATTCTACGAAGGGCGTGCTTTCTAAAGGGACTATACTAAATCTTAAAAAAATAAGTAGCCTAGTACCTAAATGTTTAGACCCTTGAATATATCATACGATCCAAAAAGCCGCGTCAGAGATAGCTTGGAAAAAAGTCATTGACGTCGTTTTATTTGATGAAAAACTCTTTAAAAACTGCTCTAAGTTTACTTATTTTTCTGAGCTAATTGACGTAGGCGTGTGGCCGACTAGACTATTCAACAGACAAATGGCGAAAGTCTACGTCACTTGACCTAAATCTTCTCATATTCGCCGAAATATGAGGTGACGTACTTATAATTGCATAAGAATCGTTTCTAGGTCAATAAGCGTCTAAATGAGGTAACTAGTACCCTATAAACAAAGCTAGTACTAATTGGTGCGAATCGTATACAATCCATATAAATTTCATTAAAAATTAAAAACCATAAACATGTATAAAGGACCGTCCACACATAGCGTTTTACCTGTCAGGTAAAACGGAAGACCGTCTACAAAATTGACGGCAGTTCCCAAGACTGTCCATCTTAGCTCCGTCTTAACGTAACATCTGGTTTTATCGATGTTTATAGAAAAGTTGAAAAATAAATTCGCAAAACTAATTGTGAAAATCGTATTGTTTGGTAATAATCATTAAATAATATCTCTAAACATTTTGTAAAATTACATTATTTTGTAAAACTATGCAAGAATATTAGATTTTTATTCATCTTATTAAAAATACTGTAATATACCCATACTATTTTTTGTCAGTGAGCTCTATGTACCCTATTTGATGAAATAAAATGTTTAATAAATTTCGTAAAAATAGCTAAAAATTTATAAAAAAACGTAAAGGTGAGAGGAGAGAAGTTTTTAAAAGAAAATTTATAACAATTTATATTTATAATTTCTAAATGTAAAAAAATAATAATTATAAAAATGTTTTATAATATACTGATAATTTATTTTCTTTTGGAATGAATTATTATTATTAAAAAGAGGTCAACAGAACGGTTAACTTTTTGCCAAAAATCCCAGCTTCCGTTTAGTCGTTACAATGACAAACTATATTAAATACATCAATTACTGATATTAACAAGTTCTTTTGAGGTCAAACTTAACCGTTTGACATCGTTTACTTTGACACAAATTTATATTTCGGTCTTGGTTATACATATATATTTATTTTTTGACACGTGGGGGGCAAAATCAATATTATCCTAATTTAAATTGTGTGTAAGAGTACCACGGGAAAAACGGTTTACCAATGTTCTGAAAAATAAACAAAATATATTATTTTTATTTAATCTTTCGAGGGCTGTAACGTTTTCGGGAAGCATTTTAGGAGATATGTTCGTAGGAACTTTTTGCTTTATTTTTATCTGTAGAATCACCCACTGTAGTTAGATACACTATTTTTTGATACCCTGTATATATACAGGGAAAGAACTTGATAATCACCAACCGGTCCAGAGCTCTCCTGTAAAATGGCGCTGATCATGTTTTCTCCCTGGACCCTTCAATGAGAATAAGTGCAAACAAAACGCATCCTAATAAGTGGAATAGTACCGATGTGTGATGTTTGTATGCGTACGTGCGTTCGGAGCTATTGCATTGACAGAGAGTTGTGCAGCGTAAACAGTAAACAAAATTCCACAATCTCGAGTCAATGGTCCACTTTCCTCGTGTCTTGTCTTGCCCGACGGGCTAAAAATAGCCCAGAGAGCCGTTTTTTAGATCTGGTACCGAGGCTACCGATACGTATAAATAATACCCAGCGATGGCCAGGCATGGGTCAAGCGTTTCGAATTAGCTGACCAGTGATGTTAGGCTGGACCATAGACTTAAAATAAAATATAGACTGAGCATCTCATTCATAAATAGCTGGAACATGCGGTCAGACAATGTCTTGTTATTGTTGTGTCTTTCGTTTTTCACTGTCTTTCGTTTCTCAAGTACACCTGAACTCTCCTTATCATAGCCGGGTATTTTTTTTATTTTAATGAAGCTATGATTAAATTAAAAATGTATCGTATTTAAACTTTTTTATATTTTATTAAGATTTAGGACAGGTTTTTTAAATAAAAGTTTAGAAAAAACATCTAACAATATTCATTGTCTAAATAATTTATAATGAATGGCGCCTCCTAGTGATTATTATTTTTCTTTGAATTTACGATTATTGGCTTTAAAGTGTTATTTTTAAATCCACGTTGTTCGACGCATCAACAAATAATACAAAACGAAATAAAAATAGAACTGAAAAGTCACGTATGTTCGGTTTTGTTGTTTTTCAATTCGCAGAGAAACACGTACGTTGTTTACTAAATTTTATTGTTTATAATAATAAAAGAGACAACCAATTACTATAAATATCTTTTAATAACGAATAGAAAATAAAAATAACTGTGTTAAATAAAAAAAAACGTATGTCTAAGATTTGCTAAAGTTACGTCTACACCTAACGTTTTACCTGTCAGTCTTACCTGTTCAGTCAAAACGTTCAAATAAAACATAACGTAAATTAATTATTAAGTTAATCATTAAGTTATTATTTACATCAACAAAACTCATTTCTTTAACGGCTACTTTAAAGGACATAAAGGGCCATTACTATCGGTTTTCAGCTCAAAGTATTCTTAATAAGGTCGCGAACAGAGCTACCAACTGAATTTCCAGCGGGAAATTTAAATTCCAGTTAGTTAGCCCGGCGCCGAATATGTCCACGGTTGGTGGTAACATTTAATTTAATAATCGTGCCCTCGATGACGTAACTAAAAGTTTATTTGGTAATCGATATAACCGCATTGCAAAACTGTCAGGTAAAACGTTATGTGTAGAGAAGCCTTTAGACCCTGTATTATAAGTAAATAAATAATATTGTTTAACTTTACAATTATTTATTTTATATTATTTATAATTATTTCTATTAAAAAGAAATAAGAAAAACGTTGTATACTATAAATCACACGTATTATACAATGAAAATTTCACACCTCTACTTTTCAACCAATAACATGCTTTAATGTTGACTAGTTACCATGGCAACTGAAAAAATTTCCGGAAATTTTTTCGAGGCGCCACGAAACTTTAGTGGAAATTTTTTGACAGTTGAAAAGGTAAACATAAGATCTACAATCATAATGTGAATGAACTACAATGTCTATATATTGAAATATTAACCATTTGAGTTTTAGCATTTGATGTAACTAAGGTTGGTAATATTTTTTATTTAACGAAATATGTTAGATATACCTACATATGAATTTCTTCGAAATTGCCATGTTCTAAAAAATATAGTTCTGCCGCCTTTATTTAACTAAAGCTGGTATTTTTCTATTTAACGAAATATGATGGATATATCTATATGATTTTTTTAGAATTTATTTCATGTTGAATTATCTTCAATGCCAAATCTTTAATGATATCGACTAATATAGCAAAATAATAACGAAACACATTTAGTAATTATAGGTTTTATTAATATTAAAAACACAATTATTGTAAATGTTTGTAGGCTGGCTTGAATTGGTGGTTTGAATCTGGGTATTTTCTGTTTTATTTTGCATTGTGCTCTGATCATGATTGAACTGGCTAGTACTTGATGAAATGCTCCTCATGGATTCAATCATCTATTGATGATGTTCAGCGTCCAACTGTAAGTAAGGTTTGATCGACTGACTATTACTATGTCCAGTAATTTTAATGAGCTATTGTTCACCAACTCCTTTCTTGGCCAAATTCGAAACAGCTGTTGCTCTTGCAGAATGATTGGTTATTTTAACTTTTTAGTGTCAATTCCTATATCTGAAGCTGCTGATTTAAACCATGAAGATACAATGTTCTTACCAACTGGGCTATTCTTGTACCATCCTTTCGAATTGGGTTGATTCCAGTATGGGTTTGGTGTTAAGAATAGTCTGTCGGTTTGAATAAGATTTCCCCTTTTTTCCATCAACTTTCTAAACAAGCGAACCGGACACATTTGTGGATTTTCGAAATTTCTAATCAACCATTTAGTATCCGACAGTTTTTTAGAACCACCTTGTGTGGTTTTAGAGAAAATTGGATTATATTCTATCCGACCTTGTGGGTTTCCGAAATTATCAGTTTCTTCTTTGAAGTATTGGATACAAGCAGAATGCCTTCCCCTCCTCTCCATGCCAGCTCATGTGAAACTATGTGAAAAAATTTACGCTGCAACCCATCTGGAGTATTTTCATCCCACATTTCAATAATTTTTTTGTATTCGTCACTGGTTAAGGCTGAAGCATTCACTTTTCTTTTTGCTGACTGAATCTCTCTGTAGTATTTTGCGCTTAGCATCGCGTGCAGCTCTGGCGGTCACAAATTCCACATCAGAAAACGGATTAAATTTTATTTTATATTTTTCGTAATAAATTTCTTGCAACTGCTTAGCAGTAGAGTTCCACATCACTTTGACCACACTTTCCTTATAATCTTCAAAATTTTTCTTTTTCATATTAAATGCGTAGTCCTCCAGTATAGTAGCCAGCTGTACTACACTCATACACTCATGAATATTATACGACTTTTCATCACAAAATTCAACAAACTGTTTCCATACACTTGATTTTGATTTTCGGGTGTTATCTGGTTTTATATTTTCAATTTCTTCTTTAATGACTTGTTGGTTTACTTTTCCAAATCGCGACATTTCGCTATACACTTCTTACTCTACGTACAGACGTTTTAAAACTAGTAATAGCTTAATGACAGAATCGCAAACAAAAATGACAAAACACATAATATGTCAAAAACATCAATACGTTATGTATATTTCATGTAAACTATATCATTTTTAAAATACAAACCAAAAATACGAGGAATAATTATGTTTTCCATGTATTCTAAAACATATTTATTAATCCGTAGTATCTAACTAGTGTGACGTCAAAAATCTCGCTCCGAGGCTATTCTACTAGAGACGGCATTGCGTCAGCATGGCCGCAAGTTGCTAAGCTAATAAAATTAACACTAGAAAAGCCCGCGGGAACTGTCAAATTCAAAGTTATTCGTTTCACCAGACTATACTATAAATCACACGTATTATACAATGAAAAAAATAATTATACAATTTTTTTTCTTTTTAGGTCCTACCTTCAATCACATCACCTTAAAAAATCATGTTCTCCTTCCATAGACCTAAGGTTTACCGGTCGTCTACGGGGTGTTGCATATGCAAAGCCAAATCTAGCAGGTAATACAGGTTCTACCCTCTTTTCTATCATATTTTTTCATATATAACACTTTTTTGATCATAGTTCTAGGTTTACCGATAGCAAAAAGTACGAGGATGATTTTTTGGAATGCTTCAAACTGTCGTCGCCCAGGCAAGGAGAGATTTGCAATGCTTGCGTGCTATTGGTCAAAAGGTGGAAGAAGTTACCAGTGGGGTCAGACAGAAATTGGAGACATGTAAGTAAATACGTAGACTTACATATACCGGGTGTTGCATCGTCGAGCGGGAGATAGGAAATCCCATGTAAATTTTAATGGGGTCATTTATTGGCTCCCCTAATTATTTTAGAGAATAATTCTATTTAGGTTTATTGAAGAGCACTAAAACCCACATTCAAAATCTAGATTTGGGTATTTTTTATCCTTGTATATCCTGTTTTTTAAATGGCCCCAGAGAAAGAAATCGTTTGGCGAAATATCAGGAGACCTTGCTGGCCAATTTACTGTATGATTTAGGCCAATAACGTTTCCGTTAAAAACTATTGTCTAAATATTCCCGAACAACCAGGGTACTGTGCCATGTGCCGGGCAGCCATCCATTTGGTGCCAAACTTCCTGATTTTCCCTAGCGGCATCATGTAAAGCAGGTAAAATATGATTTTCGAGTAGTTCCAAATAATATTCTGCATTTAAATTTCGCGTAAGAAATAATGGCCCGATAATATTGTGTCCGAATATCCCTTCCCAAACATTTACTTTCTGTGGATATTGCGTCCTTGTTTCGACAAACCTGTGTTGGTTTTCTTTGTTCCAATATCGATAATTTTGAACATTGGGTTCATTATTTAAGGTAAACGTGCATTCGTCAGTGAAACATATGTTTTTTAAAAATTCCCTATCCGTGTTTGCTCTTTCCATCATATCAAAACAAAACGCCTGCCGCCGTATTTCGTCCCCATCTCGTAGCTCTTGGTGCTTTTCATATTTGAAGGAATAGTATTTATGTCGTTTCAAAATTCGAAACGCTGTAGTGTGATCTATTCCTATTTCATCCTCAAGTTTCCTTGTGCTGATCTTTCCATCGTTCTCTTCCACGCACAATAAAACTTCCAAGTCGGTATCATTTCTTGCATCTTCTCTTTGTTCCTGCCTTGCTTCACATCTGCAGTTATTTATTAGGGTACCTTTGGTCTCAAATCTCTGGATATTCCTTGCGATTGTAGATTTTCCAGGTATCGGTCTATTCGGATACAGAGCAGCAAACATGTCCGACACCTTTTGATAACTATTTCCTTGATAATACCATTTAATCATCAATACTTTTTCTTCGGTAGTGTAATTCATGGCTAATATTTTCGATGTAGGTATGAGTTTTTAATAATAATAATAAAGCACTAAATAGATAAATTTCTGAAATGACAACTTCATTTGACAGTTATCTTTTACCTTGACTGGTGCTCATAAGTAAATACAGGGCCATAAGAAAGGAGAAATATTTAAAAAGAAATCGGCGATAACTCGTAAACGGGCTAATCAAAAATATCTAAAGTTATTCTTTTGAATGTGGGTTTTAGTGCTCTTCAATAAACCTAAATAGAATTATTCTCTAAAATAATTAGGGAAGCCAATAATTGACCCCATTAAAATTTACATGGGATTTCCTATGTCCCGCTCGACGATGCAACACCCGGTACCTATAGACTAGGGACCAGGGTGCAATGATTTAAATCAACGGATTTTTTTATTTTAATCGTGGATTTAAATTAAAAAAAATCATTTTTTTAACTTATGATAAAACGAAAGATAACTGTAAAAATTTTAAAAAATTGTCCTTAAAAGCTGTAAAAAATATATTTATATCAAATATACCCTATATCTATTCATCAAATAAGTACTAAGTTACACTTGCTTTTGTAACGTTTAAATACTTTAATAGATCGAAAAATAATTATTGTAAAAGATATAACATATTAACTCATATTTTTATTGTATGTTTCGAAAAACTATAAAAAATCAGAAATTCTTACGTACGCGTAGTTACCTGCGGAAAAAAATCAACAATGCGATTGTCAGCGTTTTGTTATCTGTCAGGAATCTGCCAAAAAAAGTCGTTCCGAGATTTCTTGTCCCATTCGATCGCAGTTTTAACGCGATCCGAGCATGTTTAAAGTTTATAAAATGCAACTTTGGTACCCCAAACAGGTGGTGGACGCTAGGGCGGGACCCGGCATGAAGTCCTTCACCAAACTGAAGACGAAAAACAAGAAGGTAACGGAGGAAAAGATGGACGACAAGGTGAAAAAGAAGAAGCATTTCGAAAGGTGAGTTGGTTTTGATTGTTTCTATGTATTTTTCATCACCGAAGGTGTTCAATTGTTGTATTTTTTAAATTGTTATAGTAAATAACCGGTTTGTTTATTATTTTTTTAGTATTTTCCTTCCAATTATAGAAAAAATATAAGTTAAAAAAGTCCCAATAAAACGATTTGTTCATATACGGTGTGTTCCAATATTCTGTGGACATAAAACTATATGTCCACGGAATATTGGGACACTCTGTATTTTATCACTACTCAGTTTTGTACAGTTACGGACGAAAAGTTATTACTCTGCAATTTTGTTTGAATCCCTAATGGGTGTTTTAATTTGTTTATGATATTATGAATTATAGTCAGGTAATTTTTTATAATGTGTTATTTTTTAAGTATTTTGCTAAAATATACAGGGTGGATCAATAAACGGACCTTTGAGAAAGATTATAAAAAAAATTCTTTATATGGTAATGAAGAATTTGAATATTGAGTTTTTTTTTTTTTGTAAAATTAAGAAAATAAATCTTTAGTCTATTTATTCACTCACATAAATATGTTTGGTTTTGTACATGTCAATTAGATAAGTGAGTTACTTAATCTTTCGATAAGAAAAATACATAAACATTGATAATTTGTCATCGCACTTCTAGTTTTATTGTTTATTTCTTTTACAACCTTGAATTTTATGCGTTATTGCATTTTTTAGAGATATTTGTGTAACTATACTATTTGTCTCTATAACTTCAAAAGTATAATTATTTATCGCTATTAGTCAAGTAATAATCATATTTTTATGATTGTTTAGTTTGCTAAAGTCTGTCCTACGAGTCTGGGAGGATTTCGACAGGCAACATCTCAGAAATGATAGAAAATACGGTTTGTCTATACCATCCTGGACACTTCATCTGCGTGGTCTGTATTTTAATGCACGCGACAGAGATAAATATAAATGACCGGTTGGCAGACAGTGAGTCAAAATAAAAAGGCCGGCATACAGTGTTGCCGGTTTTAACGTGTGTAGAAAAAATAAACTATTTTCATGTATACTACAGAAATACATCTAAGCTAAATATAATCTATTACAGCTGTAGTAAAATGAGTAACTAATTGTGGAAAATAAAGTTCCAACCCTGGATGCAATATTTTTCGTAAACGCCTACTTGTGCGGTTTGAAATTTTGGATCAAAATCTGGCAATACCTCACTGTCATACGTCACTGTCATACACGTTAAAATCCAGATCACGCAGTTTCGTTGACCAGTTTGGTATATACAATGTTGCAGATAAATCAATTAGAAGAATTATTATTATCAACTAAAGTGTATTATTTTTAAAAATTAAGTTTTATCAAATTTAATGCTCTGTTTTAGGGAATACAGTCCTACGTTGTCCGACAAGAGTGACGCAGCTGAAGACATGGACATTGCTGACATTGATTTCCTTTCAGAAGATGGTCCTAGGTAGGTGTTTATTTTTTGTCTCAATACTTTATATACCTGAGATTTATTTATAGCATCTCCAAGACCCTACACAGACTAATTTTATTAATTTTCCAGTATAACTTCGCCCGGAAACGGTAGTCCTGGAGTGAGTGACAACGAAGACTCGTTAGTATCGCAACAGGATAGAAGTCGCAGGCGTAAGGGCAAATCGAGAAGAAGGGACGAAAGGAGCGAAAGCATCAGCGGATTTATCGATCTGAACTACTGGAAAAAGTAAGTAAATACCAATCTACTTTGTCCTATATTTCTATAATAATCTTGTGAATTTCTAAACTCTTCTGTCTTTTTATACTGTTACTGTCTTTACTATTTATACTGTTCTCTCTGTCTTTCTATACACTCCTTTCTATACTCTTCTATCTTATACTCTTGCTTTTCTATACCCTTCTGTCTATAATTTTTCTTTCTATATTCTTTTTATACTCTTCTATTTTTCTATACTCTTCTGTCTTTCTATACTCTTCTGTCTATACTTTTCTATCTTTCCAAACTCTTGTGTTTTTATATTCTTCTGTCTTTCAATACCCTTCTGTTTTTCTATCCTCTTATGTCCTTCTGTCTTCTGTTCCGTCCATCTTTCTATACTTTTTTATATTTCTATACTCTTCTATCTTTATACTCTTCTGTCTTTCTATACTCTTTTGTCTTTATACTCTTCTGTCTTTCTCTACTTTTCTGTTTTTCTTTAATCTTATGTTATTCTATCTGCTTCTGTCTTTCTGTACCCTTTTGTCCTATACTCTTCTATCTTTTTATACTCTTCTGTCTGTACTTTTCTATCTTTCTATATTATTTTTATACTCTTCTGTCTTTCTCTACTCTTATATCTTTCTGTACTCTTCTGTCCTTCTATACTCTTCTATTTTTCTATACTCTTCTGTCTTTCTATACTCTTCTGTCTTTCTGTACCCTTTTGTCCTATACTCTTCTATCTTTTTGTACTCTGCTGTCTATACTTTTCTATCTTTCTAAACTCTTATGTTTTTATATTCTTCTGTCTTTCTATACCCTTCTGTTTTTCTATCCTCTTATGTATTTCTGTCTTCTGTCCTTCCATACTCTCTTCTATCTCTCTATACTCTTCTATCTTTCTATACTCTTCTATCTTTCTATACTCTTCTATATTTCTATACTCTTCTGTCTTTCTGTACTCTACCGGGTGCGTCTCAAAAGTGGCTCACCCCTATATTTTTTTATTTTTTTCAGTTAAAAAACGAATTTTGGTATGTTAGTATATGACATAAATTAGGATTGATTGACGTATTCAATTATTTTTTGTCACTTTCTGTTTCACCAGAAATGACTATAATTTATTTATTTTTTTTTTTTTTTTTTTTTATTTATTACTAATAACTTTTGATTTTTAAAGGATACTCTCGATATTTTTTTACTTTATTTGATAAAAATTACTCTGAATAGAAAAAAAAATATCACATGTCAACTTTTGACTTTTTCGCATATGATTTATTTGAAATTGTAACAATTTGACTCGAAATACCAAGTGTGTGGTACCAAATTAATCGTAAAAAATGCTTTTTCCAAATATGCTAATGAGATTAAGATGATTTGAAAAAATTGAAATATTATTAAAAATACGATTTGGGCATCTTTTAACCGGCCAGGATAAGACACGAAAAACATTAGACAATCAAATCTATTTTTCCAAGGTTCCTTGATTAAAAATTAGTGTTTTTAACACAGCCATGGCACTCTAGATTGAAATTTAAATCACGATTTTTTTAAGCGAAATTATCAAAAGTTGACATATGATATATCATTCCATTGTATTGAGTGTCATTTTCTATCGAATAAAGTAAAAATATACCGAGGGTGCCATTTAAAATTCAAAAGTTGTAGCCATTTCCGGTGAAACAGGAAGTGACCAAAAACAATTGAATACGTCAATCAATCCTAACTTATGTCATATACTAAATCTCGTTTTTTTATCTGATGAAATAAAAAAGTTAAGGGGTGAGCCACTTTTGAGGCGTACCCGGTATACTCTTCCTATACTCTTTTTTATAGTATTTCTATACTCTTTAGTCTTTCTATACTCTTCTGTCTTTCAAAACTCTTCTGTCTTTTTTATTCTCTTCTACGTTTCTATACTCTTTGGTCTTTCTTTAAATAAAATAAAATAATATTGTGTCCATTCTCTTTCAGGGAAGCCGTATGTTGTGGTACGATATTCCGCGGCCGCAACGACGAGATCATGGTCGACCCGAGCCACCTAAAGCCCTGCGTGGCACGCCTAGCCCTTTGGAAATCGAAAGCGCCGACTCAAGTACCTCCCACTCAGGTGCCTCTGCCCTGTACCGCGGCCAAACTGTACAGCGACAGCAGTTCGGACTCTGGCTACGACGATTCCTCCAATCAGGGCATGGTAATGTCGCCCGAGTCCGCTGTGGTTACGGCAACGCCGGAACCGGTGGCGCCGCTGTCCAGTGGTGTCAGTTACAAGAACTCTGAACGGGTAGCGGCGAAAATTTAAATCTCGCGCGCCATCTGTTTTCGTATTTATCGATCTAATAAGTTAAATTCATAGGATTTATACTATTCTTCTGTAGGCCTCTTGGTAGGTCTGTTTTTTAGTTTATTTGTGAATATTATTTATATATCTATTGTAGTTTGTACTTAAAAGAGGTAACGATAAAAGAGGTCTAAGGCACAAAATCGGTTGAATTTTTATTGTCGTGTTATGTACAAAAGGAGGTTTATATGACGTATTTTTTTTCTGTGTGTGTGTATGGAGGGTTGGTCAGGAGAAAGAGTAATTTTGTGTTATCAGTTATTATTATTATGTTGCTTTTTTTACCCTTTTCCTATCTTTGTTATCTTATAATAAGGTAAGAGTGAAAAAAATCGATTTGACACTCGCTAAGTCGGTAGACGTTATATGGTTGAGGAACGCGGTTCGAAATCCCCCTAAACACAGGTCTAATTCATATTCGGCCTGCCAGTAAATTCCCTCCATTTACTGAACATGTCTTAGTTTAATGATTGATGGCACATAAATACTCTTTTTTTTCTGAATCAACTTTATGATATTCTATAGCAAAACGACATGTGATTTTAACCAGATTTTAAAGTAATGTCTATTTTATTAAACCAAAAATACATACAATTTTTTTTAATTAGTTTAACAAAATTTATAACAATACTTCGATACTAAAGTACGATTTGGAACTATACTCTTCTATCAATCAAATAATTTTTATTATTTAGGTGTAATAACAACAGTGTATTTAGACGTAATAATAGACATTATATTTTAATATTACATGTAGTTTTTCTATACTGAAGATATTGCGTGATTAAATAAAAGCACTGTCACGGTAGGCATTGAAATAACATTTTGGTTTTTATTTTACAACTATGTCTGTAATAATCTTGAGTAGTCAAAAACCTCTCAACTATTACATACCTGACGTCTGTTTTTATTCAGTCACGCTGTACAATATCCTGTACAAATGTACCGTTATGTCAACGACTGTATGCTGTCTCTGCGAATTATTATTTTTTTATTGTTAAAAAATGTCTCTCCTTTATATTATTTATTTAAACTCTATATTCGCAGAGACGAATTATTATATTATTAATAAGTTAATATATTTATATATATGATGCAAGGATAGTATAAATTTATATTCTTGCCAACAGTACAAAACGTTGAAATTGTTGGTGCGTTCAATATTGCATTGTATCTGTTAACAGTTTACAGAAAAAAATTATAATCTATTCTGTCTTAATACCGTATGATCAAAAACAATAAAAACGGCGTCCAGTTGGCTTGGAAACGAACATCGATGACATTCACTGTATAATTTTACATATAAAATGACAGCGATCTTTGTTTTATAGTCTTTTGTATTGTATAAACAATACATTTGTTTTTTTTACGAGTTTATTTTGACAGATAGGGGGATGGCAAGAAATTTCAGTTTTTTCTGCCATATTTCCGGATATGGCAAAGATAAGTTCAATTACTAAATGGACTGTCATTGGGCTAACTAATGGCCAACTTTGCCCCATTTTAGGCCACCGTATCTCTTACGGTTTCCTAAATCAATGGTCACAAATAAAAGTATCTATATAGGTTTGTTCCAACCCCGCTGAGAACCGTTCAGGAACGGTTCCGTTCATGCGCATGGGGCTAAAAGCGTTCCAACCTTGATGAGGATCGTTCTCGAACGATTCTCTCTACGTTCCAACCAATTTTCTGATCGTTATTAGAACGGTTTCGGAACCGTAATTTCAATACTTGCCAGTAATACTGTCCTCCATTCGCGAACTGCGAGTTCCGAGCTTTAAGCCCTGGGGCTACTCGAGAACGGTTCTGAAAGGAGCTGTGCGCGATAGCCTGGTGCCTCCATATGGCGCGGAACAGTTCTGGAACTTTATGACTCAATTGAATGGAGTGAGAGTATCGCGTTCTTGAACAGTTCAGAGCTGCACAACTGCGTGAATGGAGGACAGTAAATGTGGGAACTGTTTATACTGACATGCGCAGTTAGTAAATTTTATCAGCTGATTGACATTTGGGCCGGGGCGTTTGCTTGTTTTGTTTGGAGTTTAATGGGTTTTATTGTTTAGAATTCTTTCTATTCTTAGAAATCTGTGAAGAATATTATTAAGGTTGGTTTTGTTTACATCTTACATCAAAGAGAAAGTGAGGTTATTTTAACCGGTGTTTGGACAAGACAGATTAAAAACGGTTCCGAAACTGTTCCAACCGATTGTCAATCTAGAATCGTTCAAAAACAGTGCCGAGTTAACGCATGCGGATAAGACTAGTCCCAATATGATTTCAGAACGGTTCTAGAGCCGTTCTAAAACGTCAGTTATAGTTCATATCAAATAAACTTTTAGTCACGTGATTAAGTTTGGCAGGTACAGCGTTGCCTACTTTTACATATTTTCTTTTAATCAAAATATTTTTGGAAACAAAAATAAATTAATTATAAATATACAGGGTGTTTCACAACAAATGCGAAAAACTTTAGGGGGTGATTCCTTGTTCAAAATAAAGGGTAGTTTGCTTTATAAACGTTGGGTCAAAAGTCAACCATTAGGGAGATATCGCGGTACAAAGATGGCGGAAAAATAATGTTTTTATTTTTTATCTTGAAAACGAAAAGAGATAGACTAATGAAATTTTATGGAAGCATTACTGTTATGAAAACACACTTTCAGGTAATTTTTTACTTTTTAAAATGGTGGAAGGGGTTGAAATAAACTACCCCTATCATTCTTGTTAACGAAATTTAAAGAAAAATCTTGTCAAACACATGCAAATGCTTTAATTTGGATAGTTTAGTTTGTTTAGAAACTTTTTACCTCTTGTGTTTTTTTTTATAAAACTCACCGATTGGAAATTAAAAAATAAAATGTAACGCATTACATGTCAGGACAAAAAAAACATTTTTAGATTAAGAATCTAGTGATAATAACGATAATAATAATCATCTAGATAATAACGTATTGCAGTAGAGTAATGTCAAATAAAATAATATTAGGAACATCTTAAAAAGTAACAGCGGCCGACTAGATTTTTTCCTAAAAATTACAGCAGCCCACTAGATTCTTTATCTGAAAATGTTTTTTTGTCCTGACATGTAATGCTTTACATTTTATTTTTTAATTTCAAATCGGTGAGTTTTATCAAAAAATACAAGAGATAAAAAGTTTCTAAACAAACTAAACTATCCAAATTAATTTTTTGCATGTATTTGATAAGATTTCTCTTTAAATTTCGTTAACAAGAATGATAGGGGTAGTTTATTTCAACCCCTTCCACTCATTTTAAAAAAGTGAAAAATTACCAGAAAGTGTGTTTTCATAACAGTAATGCTTCCATAAAATTTCATTAGTCTATCTCTTTCGTTTTCAAGATAAAAATTAAAAACATTATTTTTCCGCCATCTTTGTACCGCAATATCTCCCTAATGGTTGACTTTTGACCCAACGTTTATGAAGCAAACTACCCTTTATTTTGAACAAGGAATCACCCCCTGAAGTTTTTCGCATTTGTTTTGAAACACCCTGTATAAACAATTATTATTTGCATCAATAAAAGTCACCTCCTTTCCCCGTTCAAAATATTCAATATATAATAAAGTCGCGATGAATTTTTTACGGCTATTAAGCTATCTTGTACATTCATCATTACGATTATAACATAAATAAAGTAGTTACTTCTACTAATTGCAATATTGATCCACTGGCAATTTTTATTTGACTGAAAGCTGTCTGTTTTATGACAGTTTCTGAATATTTAACAGAGATGATAAATAATATATTTTAAAATTAAAAATGGGTCCAAGTTTAAACACCCTGTAAACAGTAAAACACCTACTTGCGCCTGTTAAAGTTAAAACTAAGAAAAACGAACAAACAATAGTTGAAACATAGAAACTACGGTGTGGTCGAATAAAAACGGCATCACAGCAGGCTAAGAAATCATGTTTTAGATTGTTTTTTTACTAAATACTTAACTTTAACTAAAATATTATTGCATAGTTCGTGTGACGCGTTTTTTATTTGACAACGCCGTATATTTTCCTGCCTTTGTAAACAGTATTAAACAAGTAGTTTTAATACAAATTCATTTGGAAAAAATTTTTTTTTTTAGAATTTCTATGTTTTAACTCAGTTTTTTTTTCGCACGAGCAATACTACTAAAAAACTCCTCAAAAATAATTCATATCCTCAAATAACTTGTGACTGTTACTGCCAAAAGCTCGTTTATCGACGACATTTTTTTCCATTCATAGTTTGGTAAAAACTTTATTTTTAAGCGCATTTCATGTGTAATATCACTATGTGACGTATAATTATTGTAAAAAATGTAATATAATTATATAGGTGATTTAACAGATGAAATATATACAGGGTGGATCGCTTTTTAGTCTAGAAAAATTTAACAGTTAATGGAAAAACACATTTTAGTGTTCTGTCGACTGTTTTAAAGCTCTGCTGCTAAAAGTGGACCGCCCTGTAACTAATTGAACAAGAAGTTCTAAAAAGTGATATTTTTTTAGGGTTCTTGTGTACATTATGATATTGGCCCGTGCATTATTCTGTAATATAAGGAAATATTCGTTTTTATTCGCACTTCTCAGGTGTTAATAATAGAATATTTTTAAATAACTTATTTTTAAAATGAGATAGACTGCGACACTGACTAGTCCTAATATATGTACGTACCAATTTGTAATTGTTTTTTTTTGTTAATTGCGTTTTTTTTTGTTTGAATCTCTGTCGAAAAATCGAAAGTAAGTTTACTTATACCAGTGACTAAAGAATACAAGGATGGGGAATACAGGGTGTCCCACTTAAGATGGATACAAGCCAATATCTTGATTGTTTGTTGAACAATCTTTTTCATTTTTGGCAGGAGGTTGTATGGCTATAAGACGTACATTTTGCCCAGGGTAAGAAATGCGATACCTCATAGGCGTACGTTTTAATGGGGTTTGATATTTTTCGAGTCAAGAGTAAACTACCCTTAGGACAGTATTTATTTCAAATCTGATAAATTATATTGAATCCTCCTTACCTACGAGACTTACGTTCTAATTTTGATAAATATTGATACAGATCAGATTTGAAATAAATACTGTCCTAAGGGTAGTTTACTCTTGACTCGAAAAATATCAAACCCCATTAAAACGTACGCCTATGAGGTATCGCATTTCTTACCCTGGGCAAAATGTACGTCTTATAGCCATACAGACTCCTGCCAAAAATGAAAAAGATCGCTCAACAAACAATCAAGATAATGGCTTGTATCCATCTTAAGTGGGACACCCTGTATTTTATGTTTTTGAGCCATTATTTCCTGAGAAAATATAAAAAATTGTGGAAGTTACATACGATTTGAAGTTGAATTTTAACCTTCAATAACTTTCAAACGAGTTGATTAAATGAAAATTCATATATTTCCTACATGAATATGTACTGATTTTTACAAAACGCTGATTTGTTACAACGCAATAAAATTAAAAAAAAACATTTGTTTTCCCGTGATATTTAAAGTATTAATATTAAGAGCCCAAACTTTACCAGAATTTTTCTTTTGTGCACCTTAGTATACAGGATGTCCCATATAAGGATGTATTCTGTCACTAGCTAAAAGTATCTGCTAAAAGTAAGCTTATTTAATAGATTTTTCGATTGCTTTTGGCAATATACCCTGAAGTTGTTCTGGCAATATTTCGTTTTTGTCAAAAATCACCTGGCATTTTTGACAACTACCCATTATGATCTCAGTAGGGAGGATGGGTCCTCTCCAGCTGTCAAACCGACGTAAAACTATGTCGATTCAATATTTTTTTGACAGCTAGAGAAGAACCATACTGATAAATAAATCCATTGTGAAATGTAAAACATTCTAAAAAGAAATTCACAAAACCTAGGCTTAAATAAAGTATTAATATTATCAAATTATATGTATATCTTTTTATTTTTTAAATGAGATATTATTTTACATATTTATATATCTTCTATAGGTTTAGAGTACAGACAAAAATAGTATATTATTTATTTTAGTTATATTTTTTAATATTTCTATGTATAAAATAAATTAAATCCAAACTGAAAATATTTGTAGGTTAGAATTAAGCGTGCGCAAAGCCGTTTTCACATAAAATAAAACAAGAAGTTAAAAGATAAAGACTTCTTATTTTATTTGTTATTTTATTTGGCTGTATGAACGCATGTACAGTATCCCATATAACCAACTTTCTTATTTTATTTTATTTTATTCTTATTTTATTTTATTTGGCTGTATGAACCCACCATTATATACAATTTCGAATAAGAATTTGAAATCACAAAGAAATTTATTGTTAGAATTAAAAATTTTAAAATACTTTTAGGTCAATTTTATCAAAATTTATAGTTGAATCGAAAAAAAAATCATATTTTTTATAAAAAAATACGCCGGAAAAAAATAGAGGTGGTATTTTTTCTGGTCTTGAGGTAATTTGATTTGAGATATCTTTATGGCTAGCCAAAATATTTTATAAAAAAATAGATAAGTCTATATAAAAACAAAAAGGGATATTCTAAATTTTAAACTTTTGTAAAAAACCAAGAAAAAAATCGAAATAAAAATTATTAGCCAAAACGTTGGGCAATAATTTTTCTATAAACTGTTTTTACAGATAAAATTGATAGATTTAAAAATTTCTATAAATAACATGTGGTGAATATTGTTGGATATATCTTTTTTTCTATTAAATAATGTGCTTTGATTTTTGTACACTAATTTTTTTGTGACAAAAATCTAAGTACACTCGATTCTTGTTAGAAAATTATAGTTAAAAAAAACGACTTCAAAAGTCTCGTCTAGCTTAAAAACATGTTTTGTTATTGAAAAAAAATAGTTTTAATTTATTTTCAGTAATCATGATGAAGATTAATGTAATTCCAAGTGTTTTAGGATCAATTCCCTTTTTTTCTGTATGTATAAATTAATAAAGAAAGCATAAAATATAAACGTTTTTTTCTTTTATTATCCCAGATGTCTAAAATTGGAAAATATTTCGTTATTAGTAATGATTCTTTTAATTTAGGTATATACGAAGAGACTTGGCAACTACGGTTTATGCATTGTCAAATTACTCCGATCTATTTGATCTGTGGCATTGTTTTGTTTACAAAATTAAACAACCTAGATCTCACAAAATATTGGAAAAAGTTCTATGCTCTGGTTCTATGATTAGAAACAAGGTTTTCTTTCAATGGAGGAACATACAGTGAGTAATAATATTTTAAGGATAAATTTCAAAGCTATTTTACTTATTTTTTAGCTATCCGAATTCAGAAAGCTGGGCGCAGATGAAAAAACCTCCGTGATAGCACTGCAAGTTCTTTTGGAGTTATGCGAAGGTTTTAATGAATTCAATGTAATAATATAATTGTACAATTCAAGTTTGTTTTGAATTCTAGTGAAAAAGTATTGGGACATATCCTACGTGTATAAGGAAGCTTTAAAGAACATTATTATCAAAGCAAGGAAGACAAAAACAGAAGCTCACAGTACATTTATTCCAATTTCTTCATATGAAAACCTTAGTTTCCTGAAAATGCAGGAATTCTTGGATGTATGCGATACTGAAAGGTAACTAAATATTTTCCCATTCTTAAAAATAAATTATAATCAACTATAGGATATTTTTAGTGCATATCTTGCTATACTTCATCCAGATTCGACCTGCGTTTATTATGAAATAAGTAAAGGTCTGGTAGAACCTTCGGATACCACAGCAAAGCATTTGAGGGTTAATAAGAAAGAAAAATTGGATATGGAATTGAAGAAGCACTATAAAACTATAGAACAGGCGGCTTTAATGGGTATTTCTATGACGTTACCTAGGGCAGAGGCAGGATCATCACAAAATTCTTAAAATATGTAGTTATAACTGGTTAATTTAAGCCTAGCTAGGTATATTCTTTGATTTAAGCGTTTCTTACATACTGTATATTGGTTAATAAATTTTATATATAATATATTAATATATTGGTAAAGGTGTGGATCCGGTGGCTGACCTTGAAGCCCATATTTGCTGCATTTGATCATCGATACTACGCAAGTGCACATCGTCGATGTTGCCAAATTTCAGTTTATTTTCGAATTATTTGCAGTTGAAAATTTTTTTTGAGTGTTAATCAGTAAAAATACAAATTCTATAATTAATTTAATAATTTCAGATTTATCTTGATATCCAAAATTAAGGTAAGAAGGATAATGAAAATTGTGAAATGATAGTATTATGAGTATATAAAATTGTAATAATAATAACATTTATTTATATATTTACATTAGAAGTAAAAATTATCATTTACGGATTTTTTCTTAATGGTTTTAAACTTATTAGAATTATAAGTCTATATCTCTCTGTTTACAGGCAACAATAGTTTTGATTATATATATTGATGTACTGAAGTAGTACCATGACGAGTTCTTATAGAACAATACACACGTCAATGGGAGATAGAGGTTCTTTTACCTTTTTTTATAATTTTTTTGGCATTTTACTTACTTTGATTATGTTTGTATCATAATTTCTTAAAAATATCAAGTTAGTGGATTAATAGCAATTTCAGACATATATTTTATCGAAGAGTGAAGTGTTGATAAGACTAAAATAAGCTTTATATTTTATCTTTTTCTCTTTATAAGGGAGATGGTTTGTGTCGTAAAATACATTACAGTATTTAATATCGTGTACTTTGATATTCTTTTCGTAATTTACTGTAATTTCTTGTTTCCTATAATGCCAAATCTTGACAATATGGTGAAGGTTGATTTTGATCTTATTAGTTTTATACCTGTGTTTACTAGACTAACTTAAGACGTGAGTTTGTGATTTATATCAAGATCTTTCTTAACGTTAATTATGTCTTAATCTTAATACTATATTATGCTTTGTCTGGAAAATAAATGTTAGAATATATAAATCTAATGTACTCAATCGTCATTTCCCAGCCAACTGGACGCCGTTTTTTCGCTCATAATTTGTACTTATTAATATATTTTTTCTTGTAAGTAAAGGATTTTTCAGCTTAATTAAATTTCAAATTTGAAAATTGTGGCGCCAAAAGTTGAACCGATACATCCGGTAAGAGCTGTCAACATTGAGTCAAGTTAAAGACTTGGAAAGTTATTTTTTTTATATAATTTATCCAGAATTTATCCAAACACGTTTAAGTAAACGTTTTATTTTAACGTTTATTTTTATTTTATTTAAACGTATTTGAATTTATCTCGTATTTCGTACTATTTAACTATATAGAATTAGTTTCTTATTAAACTAAGGGATATTTATTGAATAAAAACACTTGTTTCTTAATAAGTTATTAAAATATTAAAGAAATGCATGATTTTATAGTTCATCTAATTATGTTCGTACCAGATAATTTCAATATAAAATTAGTTTTGTGTGATATTTTATACTGGAGGGAATAAATACAAATAAAGACAAATCGTTTAATTAATTTAAGAAGCATCTGTGGAAGCATATTCTACTGAAATTTTAATAAAAACCATCCATGTTTTTTAAAAAGAATTAAAATCTAGGCATCCAAGAGCAAAAAATACTCGATCGTGATTGGTCAGTTTCGGTTGCCTGGAGGTTTTGAATTTTATTCTCGTTCAATGTTGCCGGATTGTTAAAAAATGTCGAAAATATTTTTCTGTATGTGATTTTTGTGAATTTATATTAGTTTAAATTGATCACTGACACTATAGCAAGGGTCATTTCTATATTTATATTTTTAGTAAAACAAGTACCAGTAATGTTGTTTTGTAGAAATTTCTTTTATTTCTTCTTGTAATTACGTACTAACATTATAGACTTTATTCTTGGTTTCGATGTATTTATAGCATTAAAAATGTATTTAAACAGCTTCATTTTATGTTTATTTTATGATTTTTGTATGTTTATAATTACTTATTTATTTCTTATTTATGACAATAAAAATATTTTACCTTACGTAAAAAAACGATTTCAGTGGAACGTATTGAGTAAATAATAACTTTTGAGAACAAAATTAAGTTTAATTTACAAGAATTTTCTTATAAACAATTTTATTAGTAATAAATAAATTAATTTTATGAGCAGCTTAAATTTTACGAATAACTTCAATCTGGCAACGCCGGTCATGCTTTGGTCGTTTGCAATAGAAGGATCGGCACGTCCTCCCGTCCGTTGCATCGATTTTTTTAAATTTTCTGACGAAAAAGTGCGTTTAGTGTACATAATTTATGCGTAATCTGTTACTAGTGCCCTGCTTAGCCTCCTGAAAAAGTGAGTACCCGTAATTTTATGTATTTTTTGAGATATTTTAGTTTAATATTTTTGGATTTCGCAAAATATTCATCATGGCTGCCTTGTTCTCAATGTTCAACATTAAGTTATTAATTTTTAAGGATATTGTTTAAATAATATACGTAGTTAATAGATAAGTATGTAAAACTATGTATTTTCGGTACTTTCTATACTGCGTGTTACATAAGCGGGTAAAATAGTACTACATTTTTCGTAAATTACGTAATGTATCTTTGATTTTTTGTTTAATTTTTTCGGCCAAGAAATGTTTAAATTAAATGGCCGCCTGTTGGAATTCGATGTCTTGATTTTTTGTAAATTGCTATTTTTAATTTAAATTTCTTTTTATAGGGCATATTTAGAGTTTTCTTTATTTTTTAAAAATATAAAATATGCGCATTAATAATATTTTGAATGGATAGGTTTTTTTCTATTTAAGTTTTAAATAGGTAGGTTCATTAGGAATTTTATTACGTATTTTTTTTATTTAAGAATCCTACATATTTATGTTTCAGCTTTTTTGTAATGATTTCTGATATTGGTATTTTAAAATATATTTCTCTTTTAAAGCGCGTTATGTAATATTACATGTTAAAAAATAGTATTAATGTTGATAAATGATTTTTGCTAATTCAGTATTAGTTGTAAATTTGCATTGAAGAAGTAAATCAATTGTTACTGAATTTTTATAAAAATTAAAATATTTTGAAAACAGTAAGTATGATTTTGAGGTAAATTTTGATCGATTGTTTTTTGTGTCTTCATAGTAGAAACTAAAAATGTAATAAAATATATAGGATGTCTCATTGTTAAAAAAAATATAACTTTATTATTTTTTATTTATTTGAAACACTCTAGGTTTAACTTTTAGCTCTAAATAATATGTTACAACTCTAAAAACTCCTTGTGTATTTTTATTTTTTTATGTGTTACATCACGGAAAAATTCTTTGGATTTTAGCCATATTCATCAAATTTATATCCCTTTTTTCCCTAGATCATATAACATCTTTATATTTTTGACATTTTTGGTATAATAATCAAGGAAAAATCTTATAAAGTATTGCTGTAATCTTATAAAATAAATATACCTATTTGTATATTGTTGTAATATTTTTATAGGTGTTCGATAATATATTTTTAATGGTATACCAATAATTTTTCTTTTTTTTAGGCGCGTTTTTTTAATACTACAACACCACACATTCCTTCCCCACTCACACGAGCATTGCTAGCTCGCTGTGTTGGTTAATAAAATTTCCTAATTCAACATTAGTGAATTTCGTTAGCTGATGCGGTTGGTTAACAGTGTTTTTGTCGGTGTGGATTCCCGGATTAGATGACTCCAGAGCGCGGCGCGGCCTTCCCCAAGAGAGGAGACTTATTGGGTCACCCCCTAACCCTGATGTTCAGGCATCGATGACCTGTGTGGCATGCAGACCAAGGTGTAATTGCTTAGCGATTTCCGATTGTTTCAAACCATCCTTAAAAGCATTCACTACCCGCAACTTAAGATCTGCAGACAAGTTAATTCCACGTGGTATGATATATCACAAGAGCTCTCAAATCGTTTTAAATCGCAAATTGTTCATAAAAGCAGAACAATAGTAATACGTAACTTTTACTTACTTTGATTATGTTTGTATCATAATTTCTTAAAAATATCAAGTTAGTGGATTAATAGCAATTTCAGACATATATTTTATCGAAGAGTGAAGTGTTGATAAGACTAAAATAAGCTTTATATTTTATCTTTTTCTCTTTATAAGGGAGATGGTTTGTGTCGTAAAATACATTACACTATTTAATATCGTGTACTTTGATATTCTTTTCGTAATTTACTGTAATTTCTTGTTTCCTATAATGCCTAATCTTGACAATATGGTGAAGGTTGAGTTTTGATCTTATTAGTTTTATACCTGTGTTTACTAGACTAACTTAAGACATGAATTTGTGATTTATATTAAGATCTTTCTTAACGTTAATTATGTCTTAATCTTAATACTATATTATGCTTTGTCTGGAAAATAAATGTTAGAATCATAGGTTAGAATATATTAATCTTGCATATCCTTCCATCCTTCTATTAGGAAAAATATGGTTTATAAATTATATATGCTAAAAAAACGGCATAAATTAGGTGTAAGAATAGAAAAATCTTAACAAGGTAACTGTTAATGTTGCTGAAGCTGATTCTACAGTTTTAATTACGGAGGCTAAAAAGCCATCTTAAGGCATCCGTAGTTTTAATGGAATGTTAAGAAAAACTTATTATAAACATGATATGGAGCTACAGCATTTAAAAATTAAAAAAAGAAGAAACTTGGACACATATCCCTTTTAATTTTCCGAATTTTTAATAAAGCACTTTTTAAACGTAGCATAATAACACAAATAATTAATCTAAGCAATTAGATTAATTATAGGAATCTAGAGTTTTATTTCTATTTAATTTTATTGATTATGAAAATACGTAATAAGCGTTCACGTGTTGTGCGAAATATTAAAATAGTAATATAAATAATACCGTACTATATGATCGAAAAAAAATAGCGTCAGCGATGACTACGAAATAAAGATCGCTGTCATTTTATATGTAAATTTATGGCAAATGTACTCAATCGTCATTTCCCAGCCAACTGGACGCCGTTTTTTCGCTCATAATTTGTACTTATTAATATATTTTTTCTTGTAAGTAAAGGATTTTTCAGCTTAATTAAATTTCAAATTTGAAAATTGTGGCGCCAAAAGTTGAACAGATACATCCGGTAAGAGCCATCAACATTGAGTCAAGTTAAAGACTTATAAAGATATTTTTTTTTATATAATTTATCCAGAATTTATCCAAACACGTTTAAATAAACGTTTTATTTAAACGTTTATTTTTATTTTATTTAAACGTATTTGAATTTATCTCGTATTTCTTACTATTTAACTATATAGAATTAGTTTCTTATTAAACTAAGGGATATTTATTGAATAAAAACACTTGTTTCTTTATAATTTATTAAAATATAAAAGAAATGCATGATTTTGTTCATCTAATTATGTGCGTACCAGATAATTTCAATTTAAAATAAGTTTTGTATGATATTTTATACTGGAGGGAATAAATACAAATAAAGACAAATCGTTTAATTAATTTAAGAAGCATCTGTGGAAGCATATTATTCTACTGAAATTTTAATAAAAACCATCCATATTTATTAAAAAAAAAAATAAAATCTAGGCATCCAAGAGCAAAAAATACTCGATCGTAATTGGTCAGTTTCGGTTGCGTGGAGGTTTTGAATTTTATTCTCGTTCAATGTTGCCGGATTGTTAAAAAATGTCGAACATCTTTTTCTCTATGTGATTTTTGTGAATTTATATTAGTTTAAATTGATCACTGGCACTATAGTAAGGGTCATTTCTATATTTATATTTTTAGTAAAACAAGTACCAGTAATGTTGTTTTGTAGACATTTCTTTTATTTCTTCTTGTAATTACGCACTAACATTATAGCCTTTATTCTTGGTTTCGATGTATTTATAGCATTAAAAATGTATTTAAACAGCTTCATTTTATGTTTATTTCCTAATTTTTGTGTGTTTATGTTTATAATTACTTATTTGTTTCTTATTTATGACAATAAATGTTTTGCCTTACGTAAAAAAACGATTTCAGTGGAACGTATTGAGTAAATAATAACTTTTGAGAACAAAATTAAGCTTAATTTAGAAGAATTTTCTTATAAACGATTTTATTAGTAATAAATAAATAAATTTTATGAGCAGCTTAAATTTTACGAATGACTTCAATCTGGCAACGCCGGTCATGCTTTGGTCGTTTGCAATAGAAGGACCCGTACGTCCGCCCGTCCGTTGCATCGATTTTTTTAAATTTTCTGACGAAAAAGTGCGTTTAGTGTACACAATTTATGCGTAATCTGTTACTAGTGCCCTGCTTAGCCTCCTGAAAAAGTGAGTACCCGTAATTTTATGTATTTTTTGAGATATTTTAGTTTAATATTTTTGGATTTCGCAATATCCATCATGGCTGCCTTGTTCTCAATGTTCAACATTAAGTTATTAATTTCTAAGGATATTGTTTAAATAATATACGTAGTTAATAGATAAGTATGTAAAACTATGTATTTTCGGTACTTTCTATACTGCGTGTTACATAAGCGGGTCAAATAGTACTACATTTTTGGTAAATTACGTAATGGTATCTTTGATTTTTTGTTTAATTTTTTCGGCCAAGAAATGTTTAAATAAAATGGCCGCCTGTTGGAATTCGATGTCTTGATTTTTTGTAAATTGCTATTTTTAATTTAAATTTCTTTTTATAGGGTATACTTAGAGTTTTCTTTATTTTTTAAAAATATAAAATATGCGCATTAATAATATTTTGAATGAGTAGGTTTTTTGTATTTATGTTTTAAATAGGTAGGTTCATTAGGAATTTTATTACGTATTTTTTTGATTTAAGAATCCTACATATTTATGTTTCAGCATTTTTGTAATGATTTCTGATATTGGTATTTTAAAATATATTTCTCTTTTAAAGCGCGTTATGTAATATTACATGTTAAAAAATAGTATTAATGTTGACAAACGATTTTTGCTAATTCAGTATTAGTTGTAAATTTGCATTGAAGAAATAAATCAATTGTTACTGAATTTTTATAAAAATTAAAATATTTTGAAAACAGTAAGTATGATTATTTTGAGGTAAATTTTGACCGAATGTTTTTTGTCTTCATAGTAGAAACTAAAAATGTAATAAAATATATAGGATGTCTCATTGTTAAAAAAAATATAACTTTAATATTTTTTATTTATTTGAAACACTGTAGGTTTAACTTATTTTAGCTCTTAATAATATGTTACAACTCTAAAAACTCCTTGTGTATTTTTATTTTTTTTTGTATGTTACATCATGGAAAAATTCTTTGGATTTTGACCATATTCATCAAATTTATATCCCTTTTTTCCTTAGATCATATAACATCTTTATATTTTTGACATTTTTGGTATAATAATCAAGGAAAAATCTTATAAAATATTGCTGAGGTATAAATGGAGCATCTCTTTAAAATATACCTATTTATATATTGTCGAAATATTTTTATAGGTGTTCGATTTTTTTATAGGTATTCCAATATTTTGTTCTTTTTTTAGGCGCGTTATATTAATACTACAACACCACACACTGCTTCCCCACTCACACGAGCATTGCTAGCTCTCTGTGTTGGTTAATAAAATTTCCTAATTCAACATTAGTGAATTTCGTTAGCTGATGCGGTTGGTTAACAGTGTTTTTGTTGGTGTGGATCCCCGGCTTAAGATGACTCCAGAGCGCGGCGCGGCCTTCCCCAAGAGAGGAGACTTCTTGGGTCACCCCCTAACTCTGATGTTCGGGCATCGATGACCTGTGTAGCATGCAGAGGTACCCAAGGGAGTCACCACCCTCTGGTTTACGAGCTAGGTGTTCTAACGCTAGAGGCTTCGGCCGGATACGACCTGGCACCCAAGCTCCGAGACTTCTTCGTGCACGTATTCCGTGACCCTCGAAGAGGCAGGGGGCGGGATATCGGACACATTGAAGATGATGAGGGGGGTCCGCCTGTAGGGGGTCCCGGTGGATGTCCGTCCGACGGGTGACGAGGGTGACCCCAGACGAGGCGGCTTAATTGGGATGGGAACTGACTGGTGAGGCTTAATCGTCGACCAATGGGTCGAATCTGCATAAGGAAGGCAACCAGCACACACTCACAGGCGGGTCGTGGAAACATTTTTTGTTTTTTCTCTTGGTCTGCCCCGCGTCGAATTTTGAAGGCAGAAAATGTCGGGAGGAGGCGAGCATAACCAGGCCTTACTTAAACCTGTTAAAAGTAAGTCTAATTTTTTTATATTAGATTAAATTGTAAACTTTTACTGTACTCCCTACCAAATAACTTTTTTATCGCACCATGTAGCAATCAAAATACTTTTTATATAAGTGTTGTATATTTTAGTTTTTTTGTTACAACATACATGAGCTTCAATTTAAAGTAGAATAACTTGTATAATAATTAGATCAACTTTTTTAAAACTTATAGTAGATATAAGTTTAAATTCTAATTTAACTTGTATAGTTACTTATATAACTAATTTATTTTCATTTTTTTAGGACAATCCGGGTTCGCAGCGCGATTTTAAAAAACAAGATTGAAGAAGTCAGAAATTCTATCTACATGCTGCATATGATCAGTCCCAAAAAAATTCGGATTGTTCCAGGCACCGTCGCATACCTGGAAAACGTGTTTATTGTCAACTCTACAGGATCGACCGAAGTCCATGGAGTTGGGGATATTTGATGTGCCCCATAGCAGTGAGACGCCACTGTTTTTTTCGCCGTATAATTATTAATTATTATGATGGGACTGAAAATGAACTTAAGCAAGATGTAATGGTGAGTTTTTATATTTTTACATTGGTTTTTTTTGTTGTCTATAGCTTGTTTTTTTGTTTCTTCTAGCATATGTATTTGCTAGAAATATTCTAATATTATTTTTTTTCTCTTACAGGTGATACAGTATGGCTTGGAGAACTTCAAAAGTCGGTTCGCGTCGTGGTTCCAAAGCAGTAACTTTAGGTTCCCTACATTTACAGAATGTTGCATTAAGTACTCATTTTTAATTTGCAATTTTTACATTCATTTTTACTTTTTTTCTTACTCTATACAAGGCTTTAATATAAAGTTTTTTTAGCAATAATAAATGGGTAATAAAAAATAACTCCAAAGAGACAAAATTAGGTAGCATATTGTTTTTCTATTACAGTTGGAAATAACTATTTTTCGTCTTGTTTTAATATTGATATTATTTAATTTTTTTTAGTGATTTTTAATTAAACGTAAATTAGTAAATAATGTAATTTTACATTATAATGAGAATTAAAGTATTAGTAATTTATTTTTGTTACTAAAATTAAATTCTGTTTGTTCCTGCATAAATCTTTTTAGTACTATACTGCTTTGGAATGAATTTTTTTGGGGGACAACAGCAGGATTAGCGCCATCTTCTAGATGCCATCAGGTAAATTTATATAACTTTATATTTATCACTTTCTTTGGCTAAAAAAAGTGTTTTGCTTTGTTTTAGGTAGGTGCGCTGGCGTAGGTGTTTGTTGTAGCATTATTATCCTATTCCCCCCTTTTAAAAATGTTTGTAAGACGCCTGAAATTTGTATAAGTTAGTTGTATAAGTAGTTGAATAAGAATTGGTGAGACTTGGAAAATAGAAGAGGGCAGAGAAGATGGAAGAGGATTGCTTTGAAATAGAAGGAGAGGAGATAGAAGATGTTTGAGGAAAGGAGGAGGATTTTGTTTACTGTGACGTAAGTTTTTTGAATGAAATTTGGAGCAACTGTATTAAGGTGTTTTTTTTTCATCTAGTTACAAAAAATAAATACTTATCACAACTTTTATTTTTTTATAGATGTTATTGGTATCTTGGACATCAAGTTTCATTTATTTATGTATTAAACAAGCATATCTATTGGTGGAAATGTAGAATAGCAGATGTTATAACAACTTGGATGAATTATCAGAAACATCCAAGAAGTTTTGACATAATTTAAACTGGGAAAAGGCTCACAAATGACCAATTTATTCTACAGTAGATACAGGACATTAAATTGACTTCAACATCGCAGATATCTCTCAAAAATGGTAAGTTTTCTTCACATTATTTTCTTTCCTATTAAAGTTTTTGGAAAGCTTGGAAGTTATGACATATTTTACACATATGTATATTTTAATAACTTTTTAATTTTTTTTAAATTTATTAGGAGAATTTTTTTATTCAAATCAACTTAATTTTATATTTTGCCTAACTATATTGATATTACAATGTTTTCTTATTTATTTTAATTTCCTACATCGATACAAATTAATATACTTATTAATATTTGTTTATTTTTAGATATCTGTTCGAGTGATGTACTGGGCGTTAACAGTTGCTGTTACAAATCTGCAAATGAGTTAGAACTGTACATAAGTTTGATGAATGCTGGAGGAATTTTTTGATCGGAATGATACTGAAAATCTTACTTACAAATGACAATTTCAAGATACAATCAATAGTACTTAGATTAATTGGCCTTCGTTACCATTGCGCTATGAAAATGGTAAGTTATTTTTATTTTTTATTATTTTTTAAGGCTTCAATTTTTGTATTTAACTACAAAATTGTAGGCTTCAAATTCAAAATAAAATAAGTTTGAGATTGAAAATAAAATATATTTTTTTTCAATCTTTGTAGTTATTTACAAATTTGTATCAGACAATTTTAATTTTATTTAGTATGTTTTCTTTTTGTAAAAATCTATGAATATTTGACAATATTTTAAAGAGTTACTATTGCGTTTATTTTTTTAATATCTACCTAAACATATTTTTTTATTCCAAAATGTGCGAAGCAACTGACTTTATAAAAATTTACTTATTTATTTTTTGAATTTTTAGTAAGCAATATAAATTGGTATTAATGGACGTTTCGACAGCTGTTTCCAGTCCAAGTTCCAGTTTTAATGGATAATCTTTAATGGACACAGAAAAATGACATTCACTGGATTGACTTCAACACCTGTTGCCTTTTAATAATGGTAAGTTATGCCTCTCAACTTATTCTTATAAAATTTAAAAATCTTATAAAAATATTAAATTTTCCATCGTATTCAATTAAACCATTAAAACAATAATAAAAAGGCAGGACGAAATAAAATACAGACACTGTATTACTGGTTGCATATCAGCGATCTTGGAAAAAAATGCAGTTTTTAAATCTGGTTTTAATAATTATTAAAGTTTCCACTAAGATAAGCACAATAAAATTACGGTATGGTAAATATAAGTTGATTTTTTTTATTTTGATATTTTTAGTACAGCAGATACCTTATTTATATTTTTTTCGATCGTTAAAACCGCTAATATTAATATAAAAATTATAACTATTTTTTATTAGAGTCGGTTTAAGATCTTTATTGTTTGAGACTTATTTAAATTGGTATAATAGCCGTATATTTATGATTTTACATAGTTCTAAACAAGTTCTAAATATTAATATTTTTTTTTTGTTTTTAAAAATCTTTAAAAATTGATTCGTTAAAAAATTACTTAATACTTTTTTTGAATTTTAGGTATACAATGGGACAATTGGTGTTAGAAGTCAACAAGTAGTACTAGTTGCAAATAATATATTATGGCGGACATCAAAAAACTTTAAATGGAATGAAAGTTGCAGAAAAAGACTCAGAGGACTGTACTTAATAGCTGTTAGAGTGGATGCAGTCCTTCATCAATGGTAAGTTATTTCAGGCGTCTATATAAGTGCAAAACCTGATAAGTCCATTGAAATCAATTTTACAGAATAGACTAAACATTATTTAAAATATTCTGAATAGTAGAAAGAATAATAAATCTACAGGGCTGAATTTATCTGGTGTATTATTTCTTGAAAATATCTTGCATGAAAATGTAATTCTTCTTCTAAATGTAATGGTGTATAGATCTCAATTTTCCAAAATGTGTCACTTGTCGGGTTTTGCATTTAGACGTCTAGTTTATTTATTTTATTTTTTTTTTATTAAATTTCTTTGACAAGGTTGAAAATTATGATAAATTTAGTATGAACAAACTGACGTCATAATTTCTTTTATTATTTAATTTTTATTTGTACTTTTAGTGAGCTGAACAAATTGATGGTAAAGGACATTTTGACAGCTGCTGTCACAACTCAACGAACAAGTTGCAGCTTTGAAGGAAAATTTTTGATTGGATACAGAAAAATGTCAGTCGTTACAGGATGTAAAGTTAATAGAACCAGGGTTGGGCTCGACATCTGTTGCCTTTTAATAATGGTAAGTTTTTTTGATCATTTTATTTACAGAGATTTTCATACAACTGGTTCATTAAGAAATTTTCAAGGTATATATTTTTCTAAGTCTATAACTAGTTTAATTTAGACTGTTATTTCATCTTAAAATACTTTTAATGAGCTAGTTACGTGAAATACCCTCTAATTATTTTTATCAATTGGCATTGATAAGCTTGAAAATTCTGTAAAATTATTAAATTTTGTAAAATATTCATACTTTGCAGTTTGTACAGTGTTAGCTTTAGTTTTATTATTAGCTTTCGTTAGTTTTATTTTGCCCTAAATTTAACAGGTTTTAACTTTTTTTTATTTTGCAAACTAGAATTTTCATTGAAAAAAAAAAGAAATTAGAAGGTTTTAATTATTATTAATAATAATTATTTTTATCTATTTTTTAAATTTACAGGGTAATAACATAACATACATAATAACAATAAAATGTATTAAAACTTGACAGGAAAGCCTATAATTTTTTTTAACGAATGTTCTAGCTCAAAAAATAAAAAAGTTGTGTATTACTAGTTGCATAGCCTTTTTTTAATTATTAAAGTTACCACCAAAATAAATGTAATAATTTACAAGTTATTGCTAAATATTTTTTATATATATATCTAGTAAATTAGATCTTTCATTTTATGGTCATTAATAACTCGCTATTACTTTCATATCAAGGAAATTTACAATTTTTATATTATTTCTGAAGTTATCAATAAAAGTCTTTCTTTTAATTTTGTATAACTCTTTATAACTTCTTCAAATTAATATTAACAAAATGAGTATTATTTATTTGTTATTTTAGATAGTTTCAAATATTAAGAAAATTTATGTTATTGTCTGTTTTCTGATAGCTTCTTCAAAAATTGCTATAATAAAAAATTACCTAATATATATTTTTTTATTTAGGTATACGAAAAGACAATTGCTATTAGAAACAAATAAGTTCTACTAGCTGCAACTAATGGTGGTCATAAAAGAGATTTAAATGAAATGAGAGAGAAACTTGTGCAGAAGAAATCGAGGAAAACCATTTTGAACTACTGTTACTTAATAGCTCTTAGAGGGGATCCAGTTCTTCATCAATGGTAAGTTATTTTTCTATCTTTTATAAAATTTCATTGGACAGCTTGAAAATTTTTAAAATTTTCTAATATTCGAGCGCTTTTGTTCCAATATTAGAAAAGCCAACAACTGTTAAAAATAGGCAGGACAAAATAAAATGCTGATACTGTATTACTGGTTGCATATTGTTACGGATTCCGTGGGTCCACTAATTTAAACTCACGATAAAATACTTAACGGATTTATTTTCGCACTATATACACCACAATTTATACTGATTACAACACACAATTAACTATTTAAAAAAATCCTTCGCCAAATTGTCAACATTCGCTATTCAAAACTATTTGGTTTAAAATTACAGACGATATATTAATGTTCCCACTAGAATAAACGCAATAAATATCTATATCGTAGTCTCATAGTGTATTCCGTCTTTTCATGAAGAGCCTAGTCACTTAATGAAATAAACTAACCTAACAACATAACTAGCCTGTTAACCTAACCAAAGCTTCATGAAGTGACGAGGATCTTCACGAAAAGACGGAATACACTATGGGACTACGACATATACATTATTTTAAGAAATATAATTTTAATTAATCTTTTTTGTTTTGTTTTTATTAATTTTGTTTTCAGAAATCTTCCAAAATTAGTATAGTAAAAATTTACTTAATATTTTTTTGGAATTTTAGGTATACGCTACAATCCGTACTATCTGCAAATATTATGGTGGACATCAAAAAGCTTTAAATGGAATGAAACTTGCAGGAAAAGACTCAGAAAACCCATTTAGAACTGTACTTAATAGCTGTTGAAAAGTGGTCGGCAGTCCTTTATCAATGGTAAGTTATTTATCTCTTTTTTCTTACTAAATTTTATCGACAAGCTTGAAAATGATGATACGTTTTCATAATATTCAAGCTGCACAGGTCTCTGAGGTCAACGTCTATTCCTACATATATGTCATTTATTAAAAATTGATATAAAAACTTGTCAAAAATAATATTTAGCTGAAAAAAAGGAAAAAGGTTTCAAACTTACTAATTATTATCCAACTGTGAAAACCTTAATTTAAAAAAATATGAGCTGTGAATTTTTTTAACATTTCATTCTTTCATTTTTATACCAATTTTTTATAAATGATATATTGTGGTCTACCTGGCAGAAATAATTGTCATCAATTGTTATTTCAAAAGCCACTATATAATGCTGTTTTTTTTTCTCATCCGGTATATACAAATTATTAATTTAAAATAACATAGTTATTGTATTAATAAAAATATATTTATTTTAATTTTTACATAGATCGCCCTATTCATTTTTTTAATATTATTTTTATTTTATTTTTTAGATATCTCCGCATTTTTCTTAACAATGGATATCAACAGTTTCTCCTACTCCTCACTTTCCTCTTTCACTCAACATAAAGCAGACTCAATATTCCTCAATGCCGCAATGAAGCTAACGAACCTTGGTGAGTTCGTTAGCTTCATTAATAGTGTTATTGTTTCAATAAATTTCTTTATTGGTTTTTATCTTCTTACTATATAATTATATCAGGCGTCATTTTAATGTTAATTTTTTGTAAAATTTTGATAATCTGGACAGAAATCTTTTTCTTTTTCTTAAACTTTTGCAAAATAAAACATTAGTTAAGAACAATACTTTATTTTATAAATAGGACCATCATCTCTATTTATATTGCCTTTATATTAATTGCCTCTAGTTTGAGGCATGTTTGATTAATTTTAAATCATTAAAATCTATGCATTAATCTTTATGAAAAATATGTTGAGCAATGTAATAGTAATCTGTTATAATTTTTCATCTCTTAAGCCTTTTTTCAATCTCATTTAGCTTTTAATTTTGCATTCATGATTAAAATTCATTAAAGGTCATTAGATATTGTAATTATTAATTAAATTGTTTTAATAGAATTAAAGACATTCTTTATTAATTTGTATCAATACCAATTATTTATAGTAGTAGTTCTTTAATTATTTTTGTCTTATACTATTTATAATTTCCTAAGCTACTCATTTATTTCGGATTATCAAAATTATAAATTTTATACTTGCGCAGCTGCGTCACTATAACTCTATGAACACAAGTATTATTTTGGTTCTAAAGTTTATTTTTTTAATATTTATTTAATGTATTAAACACACTAAATTTCATGATTTTTTATCTCTATATCTGCGATCAGATGATAATTTAATAGTTAATGGTCAATTTAATCATTTTATAAGTTCTGGAATGATTATTTTTAGTAAAATAACCATTTGGTTTAATCTTTTGTTTCATATATTTTTTTTGGCATGTTTAATAGTCTATCCAACGAGGACCCATGACAGTGACAGTTGTGTTTGTCATTAAACAGAGTAAAGTGTAATTGCTGTCTTTTTAAGGATATCTTCTGTCAAAATCTTCTTCAGCTCGTTGAACAGACTATTTAACGTAAGCCATTTTGTATATGTATTTGTATAGTAATAATGTTAATGTTAATACAGCGAAATGGAACAAATTCGATAATAAAGAGAAATAGAAATAATATGTCGTAAAAACGCTTGCACACGTGGACTGACATGTTTAGTTGCGCATTTCATTCAACAAAGACTTTTGTACAGGGTGTGTATGAAACAGTCGCTAATACTAATTTTTTATTGTATAGTTCTAAAATCTAGCGCATCTGTCATAACATAATACAAATTAAACTTAAAACAACTTTATTTTTATTTTTTACATACCTATAACATTGCTGTTTGTCCTAATTTTTTTGGTCAAGTTTTAATTTAATTAAAAAAACGTAAAAAAAAAAAAAAAAAAAAAAAGTTATTTTTATAAACATGTTTAATGTTTAAATAAGACACCTGTATATTAGGAGTGTATTAAATAGCACATTTTTTTCTGATTTTTAGAGATAATCACACATGCTTTTTAATTTAACAGTGCAAAAATGTTGTAAGTTGTCAATTTTTTAATGTTATTGGGTATAATGTATGTTTTAAAACGGGAACCCTGTATATAAAGTATAATATACATTTTATATCAAAAATATATTAAAAAAAAAAAACTTTTATTTTTTTACAACACAGTTAGTTGTTTAGTTGAATATTTCGTGTTGTATCTAACTAAATATATTCTATGATAGCCTAGTGCATTCGCCATAATATAAAATGAGCGAAACTAATTTGTATTTTAACCAGTTATTATTTTTAAAAAAAAAATAATATTTATTATCGCATTTATTTCATATTCACTCTTCTTACCTGAAGTTTTGTAGTTAACTAACTAGAAGTACATGGGGCACCATCTGTTTAATTATAGCCATTCTTTTAATAGTTTTGTGTCATATTTCAACTTAAAAACTTTGTTTCAAAAAACTTTAACAGTTATTTGCAAACGCTTCTTAAATAAAGTCGGATAAAATTCAATCTTATTTTTTTTTTGAAATATTTCATTTTGTTGATTTAACGTTAATTATTTAAAGATATATAATCATTCTTTATTTCAGTTTAGAGTATTTTTTTAGGCTCTTAATATTTTTTAGTCTTATTGTTACTACCTGTTCTTAATACAAAATTTAGATCGTTGTAGATATTGAAAATTACTCATTAGAAATAACAATAAAAACGAAGTAATCAATAAAAATATAATATTTATTTATTTTCATCTAATAATAAAGTACAGTATAATTAATACAATTATATTTTGTTAAAAAATATATGGATGCTACATGTACATCTAATTGAGTTTGTTTTGGCAGTTGTTTCTAGATTGTTCTTTATTTATTGTAAAACTTAACTGTCGCCCCATTTTTCTTGATTACAATTTGCTTTTTAATGTAATATAATCAATATAAGGTGTTTTTTTTCAGTACAAAGATTAATTAAATAATTTAATTTGCAGAGTAAGGTAATTGTTAAATTATAATATTATTTGGTATTGGTTTTGTTGCTCTAATTTTTAGAAGTTTAAAAAAAAAAAAAAAAATGAAAAAAAGATAAATACACTCCTCAATTTGATTGAATACACCTAATATTGATTATCAAATATTATTGATGTCCTTTTATGCTGGTGGTTATCCACTTTAATTTTTTTTCGTGGTTTATATCGTAATTAATAATATTAGAAAAAAAAAATATTTCTACAAAATATTTTTATTTTTTTTTTTTTTTTTTTTTTCAATCTTATTTTTTTTTCTTTTATAAATAATGGTAATATAATTTTTTTAATTTTATATGATAATTTACAATATATACTGTATACAGGGGTGATGTCCCAGTATACTGAAAAATCTTCAAATCAAGTTAACATATTTTTCCTCCATTCTTTCTGCAAACTGTTTTAATAGATATACACGGTGATTCTACTAAAATTTTTACACTTATGCTGCAGTTTTTTTGTAAATGGGATAGGTTTATATTTTGTTTGCTTGTAAGATTACTAATAGAAATTTTCTCAAATTTTAAATATACACACTATTATTTTGTTTTTCAAATTTTTTTTTTTTTTTTTCGATCATATTGTGTGTATGTATTGTATTTATTTAGAAAATTTTTTTTTTTTTTTTTTTTTTTAAGAATGTCTGAAAATCTATGTCGTGCTTCTATATCAAATCTAATTGAAGTCAAAAATAATTTATAACTTTATATTATCCAACCTATTCACGATATAAAGTCAAAAACATAACTGCAGTTTAAATTAATAGTAAATCTTAAAAAATGGTACAAAAAGTATGAGCTCTATAAATTATTATAGATAATTTTTTTTTAGTTTAAGGGGAAACTACAAACAACATTAGTTGCAAATATTTGTACTCACCCTGTACATGTGTAGAAATATTTTCAACATGTGCGCTACCATTGTCCACATTTGTAAAAATTGGGGTGACAATCGCAGAACAGAAAAATTTATATTAGGTCTTTTTAATATACCGGGCCGCCTGTAATTTCGATATAGGCTTTTTGTCTAATTGGCATAGACCTATGGCATAGACAGTGTTGATAACCACAGTAAAAAACAGGGTCCTGCAACAGAGCGTCTTCGGTTAATTTTAAGTGCAGACCATAAACGTGCACTAGGTCGTTTTTCAGGAAATTATGTTCAGTTGTATAGGGTGCTGAAAAATGGTGGATTATAATTAAAGGCCTCTTTACACGTTTTTACACTAAACTTGTTTTGATAGTTCAAGCGAAAAAGTACATAAAATATAGATGCAGGTTTTTCAGACATTTAGTGCGATAAAAATTAAGAGATTTTTAGAATAATTCTGATCGTGTTTTGTTTATTTTTATTTCAATCTCTGGCGATTCAGGTAAAACCTTACGTGTCCTACATTTAAAGTTTTCTTCTACCTTCAATAGGAAAACTTGCTGGTATCATACTGCTAAATATTTCCCGCAGAAAACTCTGTATATACCGTATGATCGAAAAAAAAAAACGGCGTCAGTTGGCTGGGAAATGAACATCGATGTTCCATATAATTAACAGTCATCGCTGACGCGGTTTTTTTTTTTTTTTTTTTTTTTTTTTTTTTTGTCTAAAAAATTAAAAAATACAAGGCTTGAAATAGAAACAATGCTTGGTATTTACTACAGGTGGTCTGTACTAACGATTATAATATTTATTATATACTTAGATAACTATACATGGTGCTCAACGTTTAATATGAAGGTGGTTAAAAACATACAGTAATTTTTCTTGGGTTTTTTTAACAGTAAAATACAGGGCAAAAAACTATTAGGTGAAAAAGTCGTGTCAATATTTCAGTGCGTTCCTTTTAAAAAATAAGAAATTTTAGCAAGTTCGGCATCGAATTTTGAACCCCCTGTACAATGTACGATTACGATATTCATGATAAGTTAGTGTGAACCAACTGTAAACACTGAGTATAGTTTTAACTTCAAGGCGTCAATTTGTAGGTTTTTAGTTATTTTTTAAAATATATTGTAAATGTATATATTTTTATTGGTTAGTTTATTTCTCTGGAACTAATCAAAACTTCTACAGTGATAAGAAAGGAATACTTTACACTCGCACTTTTTTTAGATATCCTGTATACAAGTGAATATACTTTCGTGAAATATGTTCCAGCAAGAGCGTAGCTAAGGGTAAGCAGAGCGTAAGCTAGAGATTAAAAAATTGCCTTAAGGGTAAGTTTTCGAGAAATTGCAAAAAAAAACGAGGATTTTGTTTTACTGCGCCTTCTAGGCCATCGACTGGCGACGCTCTTCTCTTGTATTCAGTAAAATT